CCTGACACCGGTCTTTACTTCGAACGAGTTTGTCAACTGTCCTCCATGCACAATTTTGCAGTTTAATCCATCATATGAATTCTGTATGATATTGACTATCTTCTGAGGCACGCCGTAGTGTCGAAGAAGCTTCCATAGTGTTGTTCTGTCCACGCTATCAAATGCCTTTTCGTAGTCAATGAAGTTGATGTAGAGTGATGAATTCCATTCAATTGATTGTTCCACAATGATCCGTAGAGTTGCGATTTGGTCTGTACACGATCTATCCTTACGGAATCCTGCCTGTTGGTCACGAAGTTGGGCGTCTACGCAGTCCTTCATCCTGTTTAACAATACCCTGTTGAAGACTTTTCCCGGTATTGAGAGAAGAGTGATGCCCCTGTAGTTAACACAGTTGCTGAGATCGCCTTTCTTCGGTATTTTGATCAGAAGTCCTTCTTTCCAGTCTCTTGGTACTTGTTCCTCATCCCAAATCTTATTGAAGAGAATGTGGAGTATCCTTGCAGTTGCCGCTACGTCTGCTTTCAGTGCCTCTGCTGGAATGTTGTCTGGTCCTGCTGCTTTGCCACTCTTGATTTGTCTGATGGCCATGCTGATTTCTTCAATTGTTGGTGGGCCAACATTGATTGGGAGGTCCGTGGGTGCTGCTTCGATGTTGGGTGGGTTCAGTGGAGCTGGTCGATTCAAGAGTTCTTTGAAGTGTTCTACCCACCTGTTTCGTTGTTCTTCAATGTTGGTGATTACCTCGCCTTCCTTGCTTTTCACTGGTCGTTCTGGTTTGCGGCGATTTCCAGAGAGTTTCTTTGTCGTGTCATACAGTTGTCTCATGTTTCCTTCTCTTGCAGCCTTTTCCGCCGTCGTTGCTAAATCTTCCACATATTTACTGATGCTGCTCTTCACTTGTTTGTTTACTTCTGTGTATTCAGCTTGTGCCTTGGCTTTTTCTGCTCTTGTTCGACTGGTATTGATTGCTGCCTTCTTGTTCCTCTTTCTTGAATCTTATCCAGTGTATCAACAGTGATCCATTCCTTGTGATGGTGCTTCTTGTGACCCAGGACCTCATGACATGTTGAAGTGATTGCCTCTTTGATCCCCTTCCAGTTGCTCTCCACAGTAGTTCCTTCTCCATTGAGTAGATCATGAAAGGCCTGGAACTTGTTGCTGAGGACTATCTTGAATTTGTTGAGTTTGTTAGTATCCTGAAGAAAGGCCGTATTGAACTTTTGTGATATTGTCCGCGCCGTTGTCCAGTGCTTCTTGAGTTTCAATTTCATCTTGGCGACCAGCAAGTGATGATCTGATGCTATATCAGCTCCTCTCTTGGTTCTCACGTCCTCTATAGTCCTCCTGAACGTTTTGTTGATGCAAATATGGTCGATTTGGTTTTGCGTGGTGTGATCCGGTGAAGTCCATGTGGTTTTGTGTATGCGTTTATGTGGGAATATGGTGCCGCCTATGACCAGTTTATTGAAGGCACATAGGTTTGCAAATCTCTCACCATTTTCGTTTCTTTCTCCCAGTCCGTGTCGTCCCATGATGTCTTCATATCCAGTGTTGTCCGTTCCAACCTTGGCGTTGAAATCTCCCATCAGAATGGTCAGGTCCTTTGTTGGGCACTTCTCGACGATTGACTGCAGCCTATTGTAGAATTGATCTTTAGCGTCTTCATTGTAGTCGTTGGTAGGCGCATAGCATTGGATGGTGTTCATTGAAATGCCCTCTTTCTTTGTTTTGAAGGAGGCTTTGATGATCCTTGGTCCATGAGATTCCCATCCTATAAGTGCATTTTGTGCTTGTTTGGACAGCATCAATGCAACTCCTTGTGTATGTGGGCATTTTCTTCTTCATGGCCGGAGTATAGCAGAAGCTCCCATGAAGCTAGACGTTGTTGTCCAACTTGCGTCCAATGTGTTTCACTGATCCCAAGCACCTCTAGGTTGTATCTCTTCATTTCTGCAGCAATTTGGAAGGCTCTCCAGGTGTCCCACATTGTAGAACATTCCATGTACTTAAATAACTGGTTGCTCTGGTTGTCAGAAGGGGCATCGGCCTCGTGACTTTCGAAGGAATTCGGCTTTCATCATTAGGCGCCATAACTCTTCTAAATGAAGACCTCCTGACTCCCAGAGCAGAGTTCAAATGGTTTGAACAATTTTTTCTGGTTAGCGTTTTTTTAACGAATTAGTTTTCTACTTGATGGGGTCACTAACCCCATGCTCAACCCTCCTCCTTTATCCAGGCTTGAGACCGGCAGTAGCCCCAGGAGGGACGCCAGAGAGAGTTACGGATTAGCTCCACTGGAAACTAAATCAAAATTCATTTTATTAGTCTAGAATGGATTTTTAATGAAACTAATCGAAAACTTCCAGTAAAAACTGTAAATTTTTCCAACTTTCAACAGTTTATATTTTTCATTAACAAAGTGGAATATATTCATCATTTATATTCTGATAATTGAAATTTCACTGTAATACTTCAATAAAAAAAGGTAATTTATTTAGATTTATTGATTTAAACAAAATAACTATGAGTTCATTCACTGTTATTGAACAAACTCGATCTCCCAAATTTGGGGAAATTTTGGGGTTTTTTGCCATTTTCCCAAAATTTCCCCAAAATTGGGAGCTTGGAAATATTCTGTAAAAATCTTCAGTTCAAAGGTTGAAGTCATTAAAACACCATCGTCTTGAGTATTTTGTAAGTAACTAGCTCGGAAATCATACACTTTAGCAAATAGATAAGTTAGCTTTTCTTAAATTACACTAAATTACACTTAAATAGATAGCAGGGTAGAACTCCATTTTTATCTTTAGCTAATACGAATCATTGAATCAAGTTTATGTTCTTGAAAATTCTTTATTTATAATGAAATTGAACTTGGCCTCATTTTGTTGGATTTCAAATCTTAATAAGTTACCAAGGGACATTTTGTAGGGATATTACAGACGGTATTCTAGAATCATTGCCAGACTAATTACAGAGAAGAATCTTCTCGTTAATTAACGGAAAAAGTCAGAGTTGTAAAGCTAAAACTTAAAGGAATTAACAAAAGCAAATCACTAGATGTAGAAAACTTACTTGTCTAGGACTTGTGTGAAATGACTAACTGAAAGCTATTTATGATTCACTGATCTAAATAGCATACGTATCAACCATGCACAGAATTATTTACGTGAACTCACTTTGTATAACTGCACATCTGGACTAAATTACGTTGAAAGTAAATGTGTCAATACCTCGATTACACAATTATTTTTTATCTGAGAACGTAATATGGCTATCTTAATCCCCAAAACTGTTCATACCATCGTTCATAGGTCGTTTATAACCTGTTTATACTTCTAATACAGTTATCTATCCTAACACTTCAGGTATATTCCACTATACTGTTACTATGAAAGCGGTAACAACCAATACTTTTATCGTTTATCTTAGTTATACTGACCTCAAATGGTTACTCTAACTTCAACTACATAATTTCATACTCTATTTATAGTTTCTATTTATTTGGTCACTCCATAGAAAATTAATTTCAACACGTAACATTTTAAATTATCTTACAAACTATAGTCAACTTTATCTAAGCAAAACTGAGATAGTATGTGTTCAGAATAGTAGTCAATGTGAAGAATTTCTTAGGTTTAACGTTTTCATTGCAAGATTATCTTTCTTTCTTAGAGTACAAGTGAGAAGATTGCATGATCGGGAAGCGGTGAACCTTACCGCATAGTTCACTGATGTAGAAAGAACAAAACATGAGTAGTTGTTGTGTCCCGATAAGAATAATGAATGGTAACTTTGTGATCTATTTGTGGACCAATACTATTACGTATATTTTTATCTTATGATTGGTATGTAACTAAACTATACATATTCATGTCTCTCTTATCATAAGCTTTATTTTAACCTATGAACTGTTATTATACGATTTTCCATTCTTGAATTATGCCCTGTCTATTAATTACTACCTTTTTTGGTGGAGTTTTGTTCTCTGAGATGGATGGTTTGGTCGTGGAGCTTTCATCGTTCTTCTGAACGATCACTACCTCCCACATTCACAGCCACATTTGGCCAAATCTTGTACAAATGTTGTTTTCTATTTTATGGTACGATGTGGTCTACTTGATTGGTATATAAACAAAGTATGTTTGAAATACATGATTCATATTGCAGAGGCTGAGACTGGTGTTCTGAACTTAACTGGCTGGGCTAGGCGGAAAGCAGGACTAATCAGGACTCTAGGCTGCTCACACGTGTTTTACGCGTCCTTGGTCCGATCGATAATTCACTGCCCTCTAATCGGCGGTCACAAGATATAACAGTAGCATAATTTCTTTTCAGAGCAAAAGAGCATAGAGATTCATATTATTTCCCTATTAACTCCTATTCTCTGTTCACACCTTATAGCATATTTTAAAATATACTACTTTCTCGTAATTTTGAGTGCCAAGTTAAACTGAAAAAAGAGTACTGTGTACCAATGTTTTTTCTTATAGTTGTTTTAATAAACTTCTATGATTTTAAATCCTCGATAAATTGAACATTAAGATCAACATATGTTATTGGTTGGACTGTTGATTGTTCTGTTGAGAAATAACTTCATCGAAACAAAATCAGATACATAACTAACAAAGAAATAAGTCTATTAAAGCTGTACCCTTTCGACTGTATGATAAACCGAAAGTACTTAAAGAAAACATCATTTCATCAACAGTTGTATTCAATTTAGTGATGTTCAAATACAATCTATCAAACGGAATATCAAAAGTATTACAAAATTATGATGTGTATATATTACTAAAATGATAGTTAAATATTAGAGTAACCATAACAATTAGAAAATGCTTCAAACACCGTGAAATAATAATGAACAATTGGTACAAACATCATAATCTGATGGTGATTCTCAATAATAAGATTGAAATAGTTAGATCAAATCACATTAACTGATTAATATCCTTATAATAATGCTTCTTCTGTATTGTTGACTCATAACCATAATGAAGACATTCCTTTCATGTGCACTTCTATTTAGTACTCATTATTCATCTACTACTACTACTACTACTACTACTACTACTACTGCTAATACTACTACTACTACTACTACTACTACTACTACTACTACTACTACTACTACTACTACTACTACTACTACTACTACTAGTACTACTGCTAATACTACTACTACTGCTACTACTACTACTACTACTACTACTACTACTCAAAGTACTACTACTGTAGTGAACGAACACTCAGATGAAAAAGGCCAGTTATATTGATCGGTACATAATTACACAGTGGTTTAGTAAAATGTGAAAATCATACGTAAACTACTGCATTTTCACATCATTTCATAGTCTCTTACAACCTTCATTGTTGCTTCATTCCTGTTGTTATCTTGATTGCTTTCAGTTTCCTTCTCTCTTCACTATATTTCAATCGCCTAAACCTCAAGTATTACTTACATCACGATTACTCCTATTCCCGCTAGAACTACTGCTATTACCGCATATACTACAACAACTATAATACTAGAGTTACTGATATTCACATTAGTATATATACAAATTACTAAGAATACATCCAACGTGTGAATAGATATCCAGTGTGCTGATCTACGTGCTGATTTGAAAATGTTCAATAATAATAGAATAATATTGCATTAGGTCACATTGAATGAAACATGAAGTCAAAAATTATCAGCAGATAAAAACACTAATAAAGATTATGTAAGTGGATTGGATTTAAAGTTGAGAAGGATAACAACTACAGAAATTAATCTCTTTTCAAAAACACTGATCTTTTAAGAACTAAGATTAAAACGATTGTGGTTTGATTACAATGAGAAATATTAGTGTTAATATGGGTTATGTTATTAAAGACTACCATTCAAATACATTAGTTAATCAAATGATAGACAATGCCCTTTACATGTTTTCATTCAATTAAAGTATGAAGTGAGAAATTGTATATGAAAAGGATTATTAAACGATCACACATATGAGAGGTGATCTGTATTGTCTACGTGAACTCTTGTCATTTTATTCATACAACATATTAGCAACAAGAAAATTAGTATATAAGTGAAACTGATTTACAAATACAGCGTATTGAAGTTGCAAATTCAACTTCATATCACACTGATTATCTTATGAATAACTCTGAATCAATCACACACAAATCATGATATTGATGAAGATGATTTTATTGACATTCTGTTTCTATTTGACACTGCAATTGAATCACATTAGTGGACAATTAAATGAACACACCAATGTACAACAGAATCAAACTATCTCACATATTGTTTTTGATGCAAATGAAACTAATCCGATTGCCAAGAACAATCAATCGGAAATGGATGTTACGAGTCTAGTGGAAAATCAATTGAATTCATCATTACCAAACGAAATTCCGATGTCTTATTTATCAGTGACCACATCGAATGATCACATGTACGATGAAAATGTAAACGAATCAAATGTGAAATATGGAGGCGAAGAACAAGGAACAAAATCAGATATTGACAATGAAAAGAAAAGGAAATCACAACAAACACAAATTATCATAGATTTCAGTGGAACAAATGAGAAAAGATTAGCGTTACAAAGACAAATATCGGAAGGAGATGACAGAAAATCTTCGATTTTACAAAATCAAGAGCAGCGAGCAATATCGAAAACAGAAAGAAATATCAGTGAATTTCAAGTAGAGCAACAACAAAAAATAAAACAAACAGAAAAACAAGATGATCAAAAATGTCGGAAAGAAAACGAAGAGAAAATTGATAAAAAGCCAATGCATACCAATAATGAAACAATATTCACTACTACACAATCCACAAAACAAAATTCTGAATCACCAAAAACACATCCAGTTACCGACGTTGTGCTACCAACAACAGAAGGATATCTCGAAAATTCAAAAGAAGTACCGAGCAGCACCCAAACCAACACAATAAAAATCACAACCACAAACACCACAACCACGAAGAAAACAACAAATACAGATGGTAAAAAAAATCATTCAGAAAGAACAAAAACATCATCGAAAACACCGAAATCACAATCACATGAACAGCTCGCGCAATTTCCCAGAGAAAACGGACTCGAAATCAAAAAGGAGACCAACACAACCACCATCATACGAATAACCAAAACCACAAAAACAAAAACAACCATCACAAAAAAAACATTGACAATACAAATAATAATGAAAATTCAAAACAAAAAATTGACAGATCAACAAACGCACAACCACATACCGACAACGCGCAACTCACAACAGAACAATTACTCGACAACGCACAAGTCGTGCCCAACACCACCACCATCATCAACACTGAGACTACACTCACCACTGCACAATCCACACAACCAACATCTGCATCTCCAACATCACAACCAGTTACCGATGTCGCGCAACTCACAACAGAACAATTACTCGACAACGCACAAGTCGTGCCCAACACCACCACCATCATCAACACTGAGACTACACTCACCACTGCACAATCCACACAACCAACATCTGCATCTCCAACATCACAACCAGTTACCGATGTCGCGCAACTCACAACAGAACAATTACTCGACAACGCACAAGTCGTGCCCAACACCACCACCATCATCAACACTGAGACTACACTCACCACTGCACAATCCACACAACCAACATCTGCATCTCCAACATCACAACCAGTTACCGATGTCGCGCAACTCACAACAGAACAATTACTCGACAACGCACAAGTCGTGCCCAACACCACCACCATCATCAACACTGAGACTACACTCACCACTGCACAATCCACACAACCAACATCTGCATCTCCAACATCACAACCAGTTACCGATGTCGCGCAACTCACAACAGAACAATTACTCGACAACGCACAAGTCGTGCCCAACACCACCACCATCATCAACACTGAGACTACACTCACCACTGCACAATCCACACAACCAACATCTGCATCTCCAACATCACAACCAGTTACCGATGTCGCGCAACTCACAACAGAACAATTACTCGACAACGCACAAGTCGTGCCCAACACCACCACCATCATCAACACTGAGACTACACTCACCACTGCACAATCCACACAACCAACATCTGCATCTCCAACATCACAACCAGTTACCGATGTCGCGCAACTCACAACAGAACAATTACTCGACAACGCACAAGTCGTGCCCAACACCACCACCATCATCAACACTGAGACTACACTCACCACTGCACAATCCACACAACCAACATCTGCATCTCCAACATCACAACCAGTTACCGATGTCGCGCAACTCACAACAGAACAATTACTCGACAACGCACAAGTCGTGCCCAACACCACCACCATCATCAACACTGAGACTACACTCACCACTGCACAATCCACACAACCAACATCTGCATCTCCAACATCACAACCAGTTACCGATGTCGCGCAACTCACAACAGAACAATTACTCGACAACGCACAAGTCGTGCCCAACACCACCACCATCATCAACACTGAGACTACACTCACCACTGCACAATCCACACAACCAACATCTGCATCTCCAACATCACAACCAGTTACCGATGTCGCGCAACTCACAACAGAACAATTACTCGACAACGCACAAGTCGTGCCCAACACCACCACCATCATCAACACTGAGACTACACTCACCACTGCACAATCCACACAACCAACATCTGCATCTCCAACATCACAACCAGTTACCGATGTCGCGCAACTCACAACAGAACAATTACTCGACAACGCACAAGTCGTGCCCAACACCACCACCATCATCAACACTGAGACTACACTCACCACTGCACAATCCACACAACCAACATCTGCATCTCCAACATCACAACCAGTTACCGATGTCGCGCAACTCACAACAGAACAATTACTCGACAACGCACAAGTCGTGCCCAACACCACCACCATCATCAACACTGAGACTACACTCACCACTGCACAATCCACACAACCAACATCTGCATCTCCAACATCACAACCAGTTACCGATGTCGCGCAACTCACAACAGAACAATTACTCGACAACGCACAAGTCGTGCCCAACACCACCACCATCATCAACACTGAGACTACACTCACCACTGCACAATCCACACAACCAACATCTGCATCTCCAACATCACAACCAGTTACCGATGTCGCGCAACTCACAACAGAACAATTACTCGACAACGCACAAGTCGTGCCCAACACCACCACCATCATCAACACTGAGACTACACTCACCACTGCACAATCCACACAACCAACATCTGCATCTCCAACATCACAACCAGTTACCGATGTCGCGCAACTCACAACAGAACAATTACTCGACAACGCACAAGTCGTGCCCAACACCACCACCATCATCAACACTGAGACTACACTCACCACTGCACAATCCACACAACCAACATCTGCATCTCCAACATCACAACCAGTTACCGATGTCGCGCAACTCACAACAGAACAATTACTCGACAACGCACAAGTCGTGCCCAACACCACCACCATCATCAACACTGAGACTACACTCACCACTGCACAATCCACACAACCAACATCTGCATCTCCAACATCACAACCAGTTACCGATGTCGCGCAACTCACAACAGAACAATTACTCGACAACGCACAAGTCGTGCCCAACACCACCACCATCATCAACACTGAGACTACACTCACCACTGCACAATCCACACAACCAACATCTGCATCTCCAACATCACAACCAGTTACCGATGTCGCGCAACTCACAACAGAACAATTACTCGACAACGCACAAGTCGTGCCCAACACCACCACCATCATCAACACTGAGACTACACTCACCACTGCACAATCCACACAACCAACATCTGCATCTCCAACATCACAACCAGTTACCGATGTCGCGCAACTCACAACAGAACAATTACTCGACAACGCACAAGTCGTGCCCAACACCACCACCATCATCAACACTGAGACTACACTCACCACTGCACAATCCACACAACCAACATCTGCATCTCCAACATCACAACCAGTTACCGATGTCGCGCAACTCACAACAGAACAATTACTCGACAACGCACAAGTCGTGCCCAACACCACCACCATCATCAACACTGAGACTACACTCACCACTGCACAATCCACACAACCAACATCTGCATCTCCAACATCACAACCAGTTACCGATGTCGCGCAACTCACAACAGAACAATTACTCGACAACGCACAAGTCGTGCCCAACACCACCACCATCATCAACACTGAGACTACACTCACCACTGCACAATCCACACAACCAACATCTGCATCTCCAACATCACAACCAGTTACCGATGTCGCGCAACTCACAACAGAACAATTACTCGACAACGCACAAGTCGTGCCCAACACCACCACCATCATCAACACTGAGACTACACTCACCACTGCACAATCCACACAACCAACATCTGCATCTCCAACATCACAACCAGTTACCGATGTCGCGCAACTCACAACAGAACAATTACTCGACAACGCACAAGTCGTGCCCAACACCACCACCATCATCAACACTGAGACTACACTCACCACTGCACAATCCACACAACCAACATCTGCATCTCCAACATCACAACCAGTTACCGATGTCGCGCAACTCACAACAGAACAATTACTCGACAACGCACAAGTCGTGCCCAACACCACCACCATCATCAACACTGAGACTACACTCACCACTGCACAATCCACACAACCAACATCTGCATCTCCAACATCACAACCAGTTACCGATGTCGCGCAACTCACAACAGAACAATTACTCGACAACGCACAAGTCGTGCCCAACACCACCACCATCATCAACACTGAGACTACACTCACCACTGCACAATCCACACAACCAACATCTGCATCTCCAACATCACAACCAGTTACCGATGTCGCGCAACTCACAACAGAACAATTACTCGACAACGCACAAGTCGTGCCCAACACCACCACCATCATCAACACTGAGACTACACTCACCACTGCACAATCCACACAACCAACATCTGCATCTCCAACATCACAACCAGTTACCGATGTCGCGCAACTCACAACAGAACAATTACTCGACAACGCACAAGTCGTGCCCAACACCACCACCATCATCAACACTGAGACTACACTCACCACTGCACAATCCACACAACCAACATCTGCATCTCCAACATCACAACCAGTTACCGATGTCGCGCAACTCACAACAGAACAATTACTCGACAACGCACAAGTCGTGCCCAACACCACCACCATCATCAACACTGAGACTACACTCACCACTGCACAATCCACACAACCAACATCTGCATCTCCAACATCACAACCAGTTACCGATGTCGCGCAACTCACAACAGAACAATTACTCGACAACGCACAAGTCGTGCCCAACACCACCACCATCATCAACACTGAGACTACACTCACCACTGCACAATCCACACAACCAACATCTGCATCTCCAACATCACAACCAGTTACCGATGTCGCGCAACTCACAACAGAACAATTACTCGACAACGCACAAGTCGTGCCCAACACCACCACCATCATCAACACTGAGACTACACTCACCACTGCACAATCCACACAACCAACATCTGCATCTCCAACATCACAACCAGTTACCGATGTCGCGCAACTCACAACAGAACAATTACTCGACAACGCACAAGTCGTGCCCAACACCACCACCATCATCAACACTGAGACTACACTCACCACTGCACAATCCACACAACCAACATCTGCATCTCCAACATCACAACCAGTTACCGATGTCGCGCAACTCACAACAGAACAATTACTCGACAACGCACAAGTCGTGCCCAACACCACCACCATCATCAACACTGAGACTACACTCACCACTGCACAATCCACACAACCAACATCTGCATCTCCAACATCACAACCAGTTACCGATGTCGCGCAACTCACAACAGAACAATTACTCGACAACGCACAAGTCGTGCCCAACACCACCACCATCATCAACACTGAGACTACACTCACCACTGCACAATCCACACAACCAACATCTGCATCTCCAACATCACAACCAGTTACCGATGTCGCGCAACTCACAACAGAACAATTACTCGACAACGCACAAGTCGTGCCCAACACCACCACCATCATCAACACTGAGACTACACTCACCACTGCACAATCCACACAACCAACATCTGCATCTCCAACATCACAACCAGTTACCGATGTCGCGCAACTCACAACAGAACAATTACTCGACAACGCACAAGTCGTGCCCAACACCACCACCATCATCAACACTGAGACTACACTCACCACTGCACAATCCACACAACCAACATCTGCATCTCCAACATCACAACCAGTTACCGATGTCGCGCAACTCACAACAGAACAATTACTCGACAACGCACAAGTCGTGCCCAACACCACCACCATCATCAACACTGAGACTACACTCACCACTGCACAATCCACACAACCAACATCTGCATCTCCAACATCACAACCAGTTACCGATGTCGCGCAACTCACAACAGAACAATTACTCGACAACGCACAAGTCGTGCCCAACACCACCACCATCATCAACACTGAGACTACACTCACCACTGCACAATCCACACAACCAACATCTGCATCTCCAACATCACAACCAGTTACCGATGTCGCGCAACTCACAACAGAACAATTACTCGACAACGCACAAGTCGTGCCCAACACCACCACCATCATCAACACTGAGACTACACTCACCACTGCACAATCCACACAACCAACATCTGCATCTCCAACATCACAACCAGTTACCGATGTCGCGCAACTCACAACAGAACAATTACTCGACAACGCACAAGTCGTGCCCAACACCACCACCATCATCAACACTGAGACTACACTCACCACTGCACAATCCACACAACCAACATCTGCATCTCCAACATCACAACCAGTTACCGATGTCGCGCAACTCACAACAGAACAATTACTCGACAACGCACAAGTCGTGCCCAACACCACCACCATCATCAACACTGAGACTACACTCACCACTGCACAATCCACACAACCAACATCTGCATCTCCAACATCACAACCAGTTACCGATGTCGCGCAACTCACAACAGAACAATTACTCGACAACGCACAAGTCGTGCCCAACACCACCACCATCATCAACACTGAGACTACACTCACCACTGCACAATCCACACAACCAACATCTGCATCTCCAACATCACAACCAGTTACCGATGTCGCGCAACTCACAACAGAACAATTACTCGACAACGCACAAGTCGTGCCCAACACCACCACCATCATCAACACTGAGACTACACTCACCACTGCACAATCCACACAACCAACATCTGCATCTCCAACATCACAACCAGTTACCGATGTCGCGCAACTCACAACAGAACAATTACTCGACAACGCACAAGTCGTGCCCAACACCACCACCATCATCAACACTGAGACTACACTCACCACTGCACAATCCACACAACCAACATCTGCATCTCCAACATCACAACCAGTTACCGATGTCGCGCAACTCACAACAGAACAATTACTCGACAACGCACAAGTCGTGCCCAACACCACCACCATCATCAACACTGAGACTACACTCACCACTGCACAATCCACACAACCAACATCTGCATCTCCAACATCACAACCAGTTACCGATGTCGCGCAACTCACAACAGAACAATTACTCGACAACGCACAAGTCGTGCCCAACACCACCACCATCATCAACACTGAGACTACACTCACCACTGCACAATCCACACAACCAACATCTGCATCTCCAACATCACAACCAGTTACCGATGTCGCGCAACTCACAACAGAACAATTACTCGACAACGCACAAGTCGTGCCCAACACCACCACCATCATCAACACTGAGACTACACTCACCAATGCACAATCCACACAACCAACATCTGCATCTCCAACATCACAACCAGTTACCGATGTCGCGCAACTCACAACAGAACAATTACTCGACAACGCACAAGTCGTGCCCAACACCACCACCATCATCAACACTGAGACTACACTCACCACTGCACAATCCACACAACCAACATCTGCATCTCCAACATCACAACCAGTTACCGATGTCGCGCAACTCACAACAGAACAATTACTCGACAACGCACAAGTCGTGCCCAACACCACCACCATCATCAACACTGAGACTACACTCACCACTGCACAATCCACACAACCAACATCTGCATCTCCAACATCACAACCAGTTACCGATGTCGCGCAACTCACAACAGAACAATTACTCGACAACGCACAAGTCGTGCCCAACACCACCACCATCATCAACACTGAGACTACACTCACCACTGCACAATCCACACAACCAACATCTGCATCTCCAACATCACAACCAGTTACCGATGTCGCGCAACTCACAACAGAACAATTACTCGACAACGCACAAGTCGTGCCCAACACCACCACCATCATCAACACTGAGACTACACTCACCACTGCACAATCCACACAACCAACATCTGCATCTCCAACATCACAACCAGTTACCGATGTTGCGCAACTCACAACAGAACAATTACTCGACAACGCACAAGTCGTGCCCAACACCACCACCATCATCAACACTGAGACTACACTCACCACTGCACAATCCACACAACCAACATCTGCATCTCCAACATCACAACCAGTTACCGATGTCGCGCAACTCACAACAGAACAATTACTCGACAACGCACAAGTCGTGCCCAACACCACCACCATCATCAACACTGAGACTACACTCACCACTGCACAATCCACACAACCAACATCTGCATCTCCAACATCACAACCAGTTACCGATGTCGCGCAACTCACAACAGAACAATTACTCGACAACGCACAAGTCGTGCCCAACACCACCACCATCATCAACACTGAGACTACACTCACCACTGCACAATCCACACAACCAACATCTGCATCTCCAACATCACAACCAGTTACCGATGTCGCGCAACTCACAACAGAACAATTACTCGACAACGCACAAGTCGTGCCCAACACCACCACCATCATCAACACTGAGACTACACTCACCACTGCACAATCCACACAACCAACATCTGCATCTCCAACATCACAACCAGTTACCGATGTCGCGCAACTCACAACAGAACAATTACTCGACAACGCACAAGTCGTGCCCAACACCACCACCATCATCAACACTGAGACTACACTCACCAATGCACAATCCACACAACCAACATCTGCATCTCCAACATCACAACCAGTTACCGATGTCGCGCAACTCACAACAGAACAATTACTCGACAACGCACAAGTCGTGCCCAACACCACCACCATCATCAACACTGAGACTACACTCTACACTACTCAATCCGCTGAACGAACATCTGTATCTGCTACCTATGAACCTGTCACTTTTATGGACGTTATGATATCTGATGTGAATCCTCCGGTTATTCCTGCTAAATTACCTGATACCCGATCTGTTTCGCCCTCATCTGCTAATTTTCATCGTTCTCATCGTTTTTTTACGTCGTCTACTAATTCCTTATCGGAATCTGTTCGCTATTCTGAGGATGAATTTTATGATATATTGTATGATAGTCTTTGTCTGTTTCCTTCTCTTTCGAATTTTTCTAGTGATGTTTGGAAATCTCGTTGTGCTGACAGTGATATTGAATTTTTCATCTCAAATTGTAGCTTCTCGGAGATTTATCATGCTCCATTTTATATTAACAAAGTATTCTTTTTGAAACTATTGAAATGTTTGCCGAACACTCATCAGAAATTATGATGATTTATTCAATGTTTATTCTGAGACAAATCATCTGTGTTACAAATACTTTCACTGTTAATCTTTGATTCTACTTATTCATGATTGTAATTTAGTAGTATGTAATATGATATTTGACATAAATCTACTACACAATGGAAATGTTTTATTCCACTATATTTCCAATGATTATTGAGTAATTATTACTTAATATAAAATGATATAAACCGAATAATATTTTTGTTTTACGTTCTGATTCAATTTTCATTTCTACTCATTTTCTTATGATGATTGAATACACCCCGTTCATATTTATTCAAAATAATTCGATTATTGTTTCGTTAATGATCATAGTATGATAAAATAAACTACATTCCTAGTTTATAATCCCTAATCCTTTAAATTGATTTTTGAACTCACATTACACAATGTATTTACACAGATGGACTGTGAAGTGTTTGACGCTTTTCATTACATAGTTGATCAACTGATAATACAGCATTGATTATTTTACAGGTTTCATTTGTTATTCAAAACCCATTCATTTCAAACATTTAGTATGTATTTATGGAATGGAGTGAAGAGTGTCAACCGATGGGACAAATGTGTCCTATCCTATTAACGAACATTCAACTGATGTTAGTCGGTGACACCAATCATCTATCAATCAAATCATCCTCTACAAACTCTTTCACACCAAATCTCTTAGTTTAATAAACATTTTCTATTGTTGATCTGAAGAACTATAGTGAATAGTGAGTAATTATGTAAGTTAATTATGTAACAAATAATGATTTTAGCAACGTAGTAATGTCGTTAAGTTGATAACATCTTGAAATTCATTGGTTTCACTAAATCAACGAATTCGAAATCAAGATATTTGACTTCTTATAACTGAAATTCAGAAGACAATATGTAGGTTAAGTAAGAATTGGAACTGTTGGTCTCTGAAGAACTGGGTTTATTTTCACTTCAACTGTGAATATTCTACTTATTATTTGGATAACATTAATTAACGATGATAATAAGAATAACAGTAATAGATGAACACTGTACCAATTGCTGAGATTTAAGTTTCAATATTCTTTCTATTCATCTCGATGTGTTCTAGATACTGGGAAGTGTTTAGATATGCATGACTAACACTAGAAAGAGAGCGAACACTAAGTTCTTTTTCGTATGTCTGCTGTACCGTCGAATAAATTTGCAAAATAAATCATTACTGAATTTTAAAACTCATCAACTTAGTTCTAAAGGATTTAAAGACTTGTGGACACTCAATCATGCACTCAGATCATTTCTTGTTACTAGTTCTCTCATGTAACACGCTATAATCATACTGTCAAAATCCAGTATTTCACTCTTACATTCGTGAGATTTTACACAAAATCACAGAAAATATTCTTCCTGATTAATATTATCTATGTTTAACTATCAATCTTCTTTTAAGTTAATGTATGTTAATTGAGTACAAATTTTTAGATGAAGTTGATGTCAGTATTAATAAGTTATGTCATGTCAACTATATGAAGAAGATGTTATCTAACTCTCTTTTAGGTTGATTGTTTCTATGACTTTTTCATAATCTGCAGATTTATCTTTATCAATTTATGTGAATTTCTTATCATAACTTCCTTGAATGTACTTCTCTTATTCAAACGATCATATAAATATTATTATCTAAATTAATGAAAGAAATTATCCTAAAATAATTTATTTGATTATTTTTGGGATTGAGATCATGAACCGATTGACCACCATCAATCGGTTCATGATCTCAATCAAAAACTTAATCTCTATAACCCCTAAACTGATATTTGATTATTATTATATTGAATATAACGAATCATTGTAACATTTAGTAAATAACCGTTTTAATGTAAAAATGGCAATTTTCTAGTAATCATGCTTTAACAAATGTAAATGTTAGACATTTCTAACATATAACATTACTTAATTCATTAATATATTTTAATAGATGAATTAGGAAGTCAATGGTGGACGGTGGCGGAACTTCGTGGATCGGCTGGAGTTACACATTAACAACCGTTGAATGCCGATTCAGTGTTCTAGAGGTTAAGCGCTCGTGTACGAGACTGATAGGTTCTGGCTTCGAATCTCACGGGACAGGATCGTAGAGTCTGGTGAAGAAATTAATGAAAACAATTATTCATGCGAATATTCTTTGTTTTTAAATATTATTTGGAGATTTTTAAATTTCTTTAAAAACCCTACCTCTCTAATTTTTCTTCTAAATTTTATTCATCTACTTGTTTACTTATTTAAGTAGTTCTTTATTATTGACGAATCAAATTTGAAAGTTGTTTTATGGAAATTTAATGAAAACTTTATCTCCAATAATGCAGAATTACTAAATGTACTTTTGTGAGTAGTTGTATATTATTTTTGTATGATTTTTACTTGTAAACAGATTAAGTACTTAAAATTTATCGGTTATAATATTTGTCTAAAAATCTAATGGTTTAATAAAACAACTGTGATCGTTTTGTTACTAGGTGTTCTTTAAAAACCAACAAAAACAAAAACAAAAATGACTTAAAATACAAATATGTTCTATAAGTGAAGATGGATCATGGCTAGGAGTGGAATCCAGGATGCGCGTTTCATCCTGTTTGGGACCCGTCAATTGAACTCGAACCTAGTAAATTTCGTTTCAAACGCCGTCGGGTTATCCACTTAGCTACTGAGTCCTGGAGTGAACATCAACTCTGACATTCAGGTAAATCCAACTGACAAGTTCAAAATATAACGAAACGCATGTCCTGGATTCCACGGCTAGCCATCATTCATCTTTGCTTATAAAGCTTGTGATTTGAGGCAATATCGAGGCAATCCGCACAGGATGCACATACGCAAACAAGAGACTGATCAATTGCAGTCCTAAACAACAATGGGAAGATACAAGCAAACAACACGAAATGAATTTACAAATAAGTTTGCTGTAAATAAGAGGTATATGAAACCATGTGATGATATGACGGAAGTATAAAGGGAGTTGTTTGAACTTAATAAATGATAGTGAAATGCATTCAGTACATTAGGCATTCATTGCTTTTAATTAGAATACTGAGTTATTTGAAGAAGTTACGGGATGTTTCAAATGAGGTCAATGAAATGTTTAAATGAGTGTTGTTGAGAAGAATAGCTTCATTAAAAAAACAAACAAGGTCTTAATGGATAAATTTTATCATTATTATTATTATTAATATTATTTTAGGAAGTGTTGTGACTTTATGTCCGGCATTTTATCACGTGATTTATCCACCAATCAAAATACGACTTATACAATCTTAGCACTGTGCCAAACCAATGACGTTGTTTGATGACGAACATCTTGATAACAATGAACTGAAGTAACCACGCAATCACTTTTTTCAGACTCGAGTTCGAATGTGGTTCAAGTCACAGAGGATTTATTTCTGAGTAATTTGTTTCTAGTAACATTTCCACCAACAGACAACATATTCTGACTCGTGATTTCCAGTTCCATCCGAATCAGAAATAGCTCGTGTATGCTGTAGAAATGGCTATGAAACTGATGGAAGAAATCTTAATCACCCTCAAAAGAAGGGAGTAAGTGTATTAAGTTTATAAGAGTGTTTTGTCCAGTGCTTCATCAAGATATATTTCTCCAGCGTTTATATTTTCTAAGCAGACAGGAAGATGATGGAGTGTAGTTTGTAAAAATGTGCACCACGACTATGAATGCAATCCACTGGCTTATCACAGTATTTCATCGATGCGGAAGCCAACAGAATCAGAGTTCGAATCCATCAGGCCTCTTGTATTTCCAGCCACTGCTGCATTTAACCGGGTCTATCATTTATACCTCTCATTTTGGAAGCGTCTGTATTCACAGGATGTGTTCAGTACGAGTCATAAAGTGTCTATATGTAAACGGATAAGATAATATCACTCAGGAGATGTCGTGAGTATAGACCGGATAAACGTGATGAGTTAGAGTATTATTTATTTGCAACGGTGGATTAAAAGAACTCGATGAATCGTTATCTTGATGCTTTTGGTTTAGATGGAACCTATAAAACAAGCAACGAATACTTTTTCTCTACCAAATTTTTACACTTGACCTGAATTTCATGGCCATATCAATTTATTTTACGTTTATCGTCGAGAAATTTCTCCAATGATTAGTCAGTTGTTCAAACTAGAACCAGGTAACATAAGCCTTGTAGAGATTTGTTAGGAGGATGTTATTTCAGTAAATTCAGAAGAACTACATAACATGGACAAAAACTTAGATGAAGATGTTCACACTTATGGATTATGCCACGTGTGTCATCAGAACAGTAACGGAACATGCAATGAATCCCAAATGGTGAAGTTTCATGTCACTAATGGTTTTCTGTCTAGTTTTTATGCATTTAGTATACTGAATATTTGCCAGAAACTCATCGAGGTCATTCAAACCTGATTTTCAGACTTCTTTCTTAGTCTCATTAGAATAAATATTTCCTATTGTAATATTTAAAGTTGGAAAAATATATTATTCATCTTTCGTATTTAATTTATTATGATCTGTCCGCAAACAGAGTGGAGTTGGTGTAAAGTTATCAATAGTTAGAAATAAACCAGATTGTAGGTGATTCAGTGAACATGTCTAATAATTCATCATACTTATGCCTGTTACCCGCCGTGGGGTAGCATGGGTTGACCATCAGCACTCTCCATCCAACTCTGTTCTGGACAATTCTTTCCAGTTGCTACTCATCCTTTTCATATCTGCTTCCAACTCTCAACGCATTGTGTTCTTTGGTCTACTTCTTTTCCGTTTCCCTTCACGATTCCAAGTGAGCGCTTGCTTCATGATGCAGTTTGGTGTTTTCCATAATCTATGTCCTATCCAATTCCATCATCTTTTCGTAATTTCCTCTTCAGTTAGAAGCTTGTTTGTTATCTGCTATAGTAGGCTGTTGCTGATGGCATCCGGTCAACGGACATTCAGTATTTTACGTAGAAAATTGTTTATATATATACGTAAATCACCAATACAGGTAACAATCATATGCTAATTGGTGACCGTCTTCAATATGTAACTCATAGAGTTAAGTCATCTGCGTATTCTAAGTCAATAAGTGGACCTCCTAGAAGGAGATCAATTCCCGAGAATCCAGTCGACGAGAACTTTATTTCCATCAGTATGTCTATGATGAAGTTGAACAAAAATGGAGATAGTGGACAGTATCAATACAAGTAACAATCATTTGCTAATTGGTGACCGTCTTCAAGATGTAACTCTTAGAGTTATAGAAAGAGGCCGTGACCAGTGGGATTAAATCCGTGTCAGGTATGATTTAGTTATCCATCGTAGACAATCACTGAATAGTTGCACACGCTCATAGATCGATTGAATGCTGGCTAATGGTCTAGAGGTTTGGCGTTCGCTCGCAATGCTCAAGGTGCTAGGTTTGATTTCAGTTTGTTGGATTGTTGATGGGCACTTCTGAGGAGTTCCATACTAGGATGAAACGGTAGTCTAGTGCTCCCAGGCTTCAATGGTGGTTTGTATTGAGCTGGTAGTAGTATTGAACTACATACTGTATTGACATGAGAGTTATTTCAAAATTCAGGAATTTATTTCATTTCACAGACAATTCATCTTCTCCTCTTCACACTGGCACCGTGACTTCTCATTCTTTTAACACTATTCTTAATCTCGTATCTCTTACACCACATCCGTCTTCTGCACCAATCACAAATTGATTTATTTCTCTTCGCGTTTACTATTTTACTAACATTCCTACTTCTACTCTTACTAGAACTACTGTTATTGCCGCACATACTTCAACAATTACAATACTGTAGCTACTGATATTCATAATATTACATATACCAATTACTGCGAATACGTCCAACGTGTGAATCAGTCAGTCAGTCAGTCAGTCAGTCAGTCAGTCAGTCAGTCAGTCAGTCAGTCAGTCAGCGACATCGTAGTTAAAGGCATATATGTGCACTAGTCAAAGTTGCCATACCGCATTAGCACAACAACATGAACACCAAATTAATAGAAGTGGTCACTTCAATGGTAGTAATATATAAAAGGATATAGTAGAGAAAGAAAGAATTAGAAAGAAAGGTATAAAGTAATTTTAATCTCACGGCTTAAGGGAAGACAAAGAGTGTATACACCGATGCCATTGTGATCGATTCTGAGCCATGTCACACAGAGTCTCCAGCCATTGGTTACGATAGTCACGCGGACACCAAACAAGTAGTCTGCATCTGCCAACATGTCTCAGGTTAGAAGCTAGTGAAGTTGTTAACGCGTTCGACTACTTCACTCCCTATCCTTAGTTCAAGTGTTGACGCAGGCCAGTCCCGAAGTAACAACATGCATTTAGAGGGGAAGAAGCGCATCCAAAATATTCTGGCATTGTTGCTCAGTGCTACCAGAAGACTCTGCATTTTATCAGCGTCTTCACCAAACACGACTATGTCATCTGCACATTCTAAGTCAATAAGTGGACCTCCTAGAAGGAGATCAATTCCAGAGAATCCAGTCGACGAGAACGTTATTTCCATCAGTATGTCTATGATGAAGTTGGACGAAAATGGAGATAGTGGACAGCCTTGTCGGACACCACTTGAGGTTGCGAAATCAGATGACAGTTTGCTATAAGCTCTGACTCGACTTGTAATGTTTGAGTAGAGAGCGTTCACAATGTTTATATACTTCAATGACAGGCACTGCCACAGAACCTCACTGTTTACAGAGTCAAATGCTGCTTTTAAGTCGATAAAGAATACCATTGTTGGACGCCAATAAGCATGTCTGTGTTCTAGGACCTGACGAATGGTGAATATGTGTTGGATGCAGCCGCAACCAGATCTGAATCCAGTCTGAATTTCTTGTGTTTTCAGTTCGCGAGTCTTCACCAGGTGCCCGATAATTATTGAGGCTGGTGTTTTAGATGCTAGGTTAGTCAAACTAATCATTGTATGGTTATCACAGGATTGTTTCGACACCATTGCTCACGGTCGTTCCTTAGACTTCTGGTTAACCTAGGTCTGACTTGTTTTCGCTCGTCATCTTGTTCAGAGCGTGATGGCATGAGTTTACGTGAATCCATTTGTGCAATAGACTTAATGGAAAAACATTTGTTTTTCGTAACCCTTTGGTTTAAATCACTGATAGATGTCGCTGTTGTTTCCACAGCTGTTTGTATATCTTTCCAAGCAACACTGGGTCAGCCTCGTTTTCAGAACTACCTGAGTGTGACTTCAGTTGTTCCTGGAATCGACTTTTGGCTATCTCGTCACCGAGTTCAACTCTAATGGGTCTTCTCAATGTGGTTTTTCTGTGTCCAGTGAGGCGCAAGCAAATGCGTGCTCGTATTAGAGCATGATTGGAGTCCAAACATGTACTCCAGAAAGAGCGGCAGTCTTCTATCGAGCCTCTCCAACGATCACTGATGGCAAAATGGTCTATTTGAGTTCATAGTTTGTTTAGTTCATGTGGTCACCATGTTAGACAATGTCTCTCCTTATGCTTAAAATTAGTGCTTGCTACAAATAATCGATTGTCTGAGTATAGTTGCACCAGACGATCATCATTATCTGTTCGCTGAGCCGGAATACCAAAATACCCACTTAAATGTCTTTCTGTTTGGTTTAAGCTACCTACTTGGACATTAAAGTCACCTGCTAGGAGTACTATGTCTGGGTGTTTAGTTTTATGAAGAAGTTCAGAAAGCTTTCTGTAAGAGTCATCTTTCACTTCATCCGTGTTGCAGTTAGTGGTAGCGTAGGCACGGACGACGAAAAGGCAACGACGTGTGTCCCTCTCCTCCCGAGTTCTTACGGACCCGCTTAACCGAACAGCACATAGACGACTGTTAACAGGGATCCACTCTAATAGTGCTTGTTCCGCCCTCGTACTTAGTGCTATGCCTACACCTGCCGGTCCACAAGAAATAGACAGATACATGGAGGGTGTATCTCGTCGGCTCTCCGTATTGGCGAGGTGAGGACTAGTGAATGAGTGTTTCAGAAACACAGCACACATCAGTGGTACAAGATACTAGGGTTTTAGCCAAGCATACTTGTTGGCCGATTTGAAATAGGGTGCGTACGTTAAAGGCTCCAATATGCAGTTTGGAACGAAGTTTCAGTAGACCTGGAACAGTGTTCCGCACACTAGAATCGTTGTCCATGATGACGTGTGAATAGATATCCAGTGTGCTGATCTACGTGCTGATTTGAAAATGTTCAATAATAATAGAATAATATTGCATTAGGTCACATTGAATGAAACATGAAGTCAAAAATTATCAGCAGATAAAAACACTAATAAAGATTATGTAAGTGGATTGGATTTAAAGTTGAGAAGGATAACAACTACAGAAATTAATCTCTTTTCAAAAACACTGATCTTTTAAGAACTAAGATTAAAACGATTGTGGTTTGATTACAATGAGAAATATTAGTGTTAATATGGGTTATGTTATTAAAGACTACCATTTAAATACATTAGTTAATCAAATGATTGACAATACATTCTGCATGATGTATTCATTCAATTAATGAGTGAATTGAAGAAATAATAAAGTGAGAAATTGAAAAGGATTATTAAACGATCACACATATGAGAGGTGATCTGTATTGTCTACGTGAACTCTTGTCATTTTATTCATACAACATATTAGCAACAAGAAAATTAGTATATAAGTGAAACTGATTTACAAATACAGCGTATTGAAGTTGCAAATTCAACTTCATATCACACTGATTATCTTATGAATAACTCTGAATCAATCACACACAAATCATGATATTGATGAAGATGATTTTATTGACATTCTGTTTCTATTTGACACTGCAATTGAATCACATTAGTGGACAATTAAATGAACACACCAATGTACAACAGAATCAAACTATCTCACATATTGTTTTTGATGCAAATGAAACTAATCCGATTGCCAAGAACAATCAATCGGAAATGGATGTTACGAGTCTAGTGGAAAATCAATTGAATTCATCATTACCAAACGAAATTCCGATGTCTTATTTATCAGTGACCACATCGAATGATCACATGTACGATGAAAATGTAAACGAATCAAATGTGAAATATGGAGGCGAAGAACAAGGAACAAAATCAGATATTGACAATGAAAAGAAAAGGAAATCACAACAAACACAAATTATCATAGATTTCAGTGGAACAAATGAGAAAAGATTAGCGTTACAAAGACAAATATCGGAAGGAGATGACAGAAAATCTTCGATTTTACAAAATCAAGAGCAGCGAGCAATATCGAAAACAGAAAGAAATATCAGTGAATTTCAAGTAGAGCAAGGACAAAACATAGATGAAAAACTGCTTAAAGACAGAAAACCAAAAAGTAAAAAGGAAAATATAAACAAAGAATTAATGGCGCATAAAATCACAACGGAAAACAATATTAAAACAACACTAACAAATATAATATACACACAAATCTCATCCGCATCACCAACATCACAACCAGTTACCGATGTCGCGCAACTCACAACAGAACAATTACTCGACAAATCAGAAGTCATGCCCAACATCACCACCATCATCAACACTGAGACTACACTCACCACTGCACAATCCACATAACTAACATCTACCTCAACATTATTACAACGATTTGTCGATATCTCGCATCTTGAAATCGAGTTTAATGCTTCCGTAATTCGAACATGGGCTTGTAATTTTTCTTCTTTTGTCTATGTGCTTCCTTCGTTATTCAATGTGCGATTTACGTTTGAGAATCTGATTTTTAAAAATTTGATTACGTGCATGTGGTGCCGAACAATCCTCTCTTCCTTCCTCCTCTCTAGAATTATTCTAGTGATGTTTGGAAATCGTCTTGAATTTTTCGTCTCAAATTGTAGTTTCTCGGAGATTTATCGTGCTCCATTTTATAATAACAGAGTAGTTTTGATGTTTGAATTCATAAGTCAATGGTGGACGGTGGCGGAACTTCGTGGATCGGCTGGAGTTACACATTAACAACCGTTGAATGCCGATTCAGTGTTCTAGAGGTTAAGCGCTCGTGTACGAGACTGATAGGTTCTGGCTTCGAATCTCACGGGACAGGATCGTAGAGTCTGGTGAAGAAATTAATGAAAACAATTATTCATGCGAATATTCTTTGTTTTTAAATATTATTTGGAGATTTTTAAATTTCTTTAAAAACCCTACCTCTCTAATTTTTCTTCTAAATTTTATTCATCTACTTGTTTACTTATTTAAGTAGTTCTTTATTATTGACGAATCAAATTTGAAAGTTGTTTTATGGAAATTTAATGAAAACTTTATCTCCAATAATGCAGAATTACTAAATGTACTTTTGTGAGTAGTTGTATATTATTTTTGTATGATTTTTACTTGTAAACAGATTAAGTACTTAAAATTTATCGGTTATAATATTTGTCTAAAAATCTAATGGTTTAATAAAACAACTGTGATCGTTTTGTTACTAGGTGTTCTTTAAAAACCAACAAAAACAAAAACAAAAATGACTTAAAATACAAATATGTTCTATAAGTGAAGATGGATCATGGCTAGGAGTGGAATCCAGGATGCGCGTTTCATCCTGTTTGGGACCCGTCAATTGAACTCGAACCTAGTAAATTTCGTTTCAAACGCCGTCGGGTTATCCACTTAGCTACTGAGTCCTGGAGTGAACATCAACTCTGACATTCAGGTAAATCCAACTGACAAGTTCAAAATATAACGAAACGCATGTCCTGGATTCCACGGCTAGCCATCATTCATCTTTGCTTATAAAGCTTGTGATTTGAGGCAATATCGAGGCAATCCGCACAGGATGCACATACGCAAACAAGAGACTGATCAATTGCAGTCCTAAACAACAATGGGAAGATACAAGCAAACAACACGAAATGAATTTACAAATAAGTTTGCTGTAAATAAGAGGTATATGAAACCATGTGATGATATGACGGAAGTATAAAGGGAGTTGTTTGAACTTAATAAATGATAGTGAAATGCATTCAGTACATTAGGCATTCATTGCTTTTAATTAGAATACTGAGTTATTTGAAGAAGTTACGGGATGTTTCAAATGAGGTCAATGAAATGTTTAAATGAGTGTTGTTGAGAAGAATAGCTTCATTAAAAAAACAAACAAGGTCTTAATGGATAAATTTTATCATCATTATTATTATTAATATTATTTTAGGAAGTGTTGTGACTTTATGTCCGGCATTTTATCACGTGATTTATCCACCAATCAAAATACGACTTATACAATCTTAGCACTGTGCCAAACCAATGACGTTGTTTGATGACGAACATCTTGATAACAATGAACTGAAGTAACCACGCAATCACTTTTTTCAGACTCGAGTTCGAATGTGGTTCAAGTCACAGAGGATTTATTTCTGAGTAATTTGTTTCTAGTAACATTTCCACCAACAGACAACATATTCTGACTCGTGATTTCCAGTTCCATCCGAATCAGAAATAGCTCGTGTATGCTGTAGAAATGGCTATGAAACTGATGGAAGAAATCTTAATCACCCTCAAAAGAAGGGAGTAAGTGTATTAAGTTTATAAGAGTGTTTTGTCCAGTGCTTCATCAAGATATATTTCTCCAGCGTTTATATTTTCTAAGCAGACAGGAAGATGATGGAGTGTAGTTTGTAAAAATGTGCACCACGACTATGAATGCAATCCACTGGCTTATCACAGTATTTCATCGATGCGGAAGCCAACAGAATCAGAGTTCGAATCCATCAGGCCTCTTGTATTTCCAGCCACTGCTGCATTTAACCGGGTCTATCATTTATACCTCTCATTTTGGAAGCGTCTGTATTCACAGGATGTGTTCAGTACGAGTCATAAAGTGTCTATATGTAAACGGATAAGATAATATCACTCAGGAGATGTCGTGAGTATAGACCGGATAAACGTGATGAGTTAGAGTATTATTTATTTGCAACGGTGGATTAAAAGAACTCGATGAATCGTTATCTTGATGCTTTTGGTTTAGATGGAACCTATAAAACAAGCAACGAATACTTTTTCTCTACCAAATTTTTACACTTGACCTGAATTTCATGGCCATATCAATTTATTTTACGTTTATCGTCGAGAAATTTCTCCAATGATTAGTCAGTTGTTCAAACTAGAACCAGGTAACATAAGCCTTGTAGAGATTTGTTAGGAGGATGTTATTTCAGTAAATTCAGAAGAACTACATAACATGGACAAAAACTTAGATGAAGATGTTCACACTTATGGATTATGCCACGTGTGTCATCAGAACAGTAACGGAACATGCAATGAATCCCAAATGGTGAAGTTTCATGTCACTAATGGTTTTCTGTCTAGTTTTTATGCATTTAGTATACTGAATATTTGCCAGAAACTCATCGAGGTCATTCAAACCTGATTTTCAGACTTCTTTCTTAGTCTCATTAGAATAAATATTTCCTATTGTAATATTTAAAGTTGGAAAAATATATTATTCATCTTTCGTATTTAATTTATTATGATCTGTCCGCAAACAGAGTGGAGTTGGTGTAAAGTTATCAATAGTTAGAAATAAACCAGATTGTAGGTGATTCAGTGAACATGTCTAATAATTCATCATACTTATGCCTGTTACCCGCCGTGGGGTAGCATGGGTTGACCATCAGCACTCTCCATCCAACTCTGTTCTGGACAATTCTTTCCAGTTGCTACTCATCCTTTTCATATCTGCTTCCAACTCTCAACGCATTGTGTTCTTTGGTCTACTTCTTTTCCGTTTCCCTTCACGATTCCAAGTGAGCGCTTGCTTCATGATGCAGTTTGGTGTTTTCCATAATCTATGTCCTATCCAATTCCATCATCTTTTCGTAATTTCCTCTTCAGTTAGAAGCTTGTTTGTTATCTGCTATAGTAGGCTGTTGCTGATGGCATCCGGTCAACGGACATTCAGTATTTTACGTAGAAAATTGTTTATATATATACGTAAATCACCAATACAGGTAACAATCATATGCTAATTGGTGACCGTCTTCAATATGTAACTCATAGAGTTAAGTCATCTGCGTATTCTAAGTCAATAAGTGGACCTCCTAGAAGGAGATCAATTCCCGAGAATCCAGTCGACGAGAACTTTATTTCCATCAGTATGTCTATGATGAAGTTGAACAAAAATGGAGATAGTGGACAGTATCAATACAAGTAACAATCATTTGCTAATTGGTGACCGTCTTCAAGATGTAACTCTTAGAGTTATAGAAAGAGGCCGTGACCAGTGGGATTAAATCCGTGTCAGGTATGATTTAGTTATCCATCGTAGACAATCACTGAATAGTTGCACACGCTCATAGATCGATTGAATGCTGGCTAATGGTCTAGAGGTTTGGCGTTCGCTCGCAATGCTCAAGGTGCTAGGTTTGATTTCAGTTTGTTGGATTGTTGATGGGCACTTCTGAGGAGTTCCATACTAGGATGAAACGGTAGTCTAGTGCTCCCAGGCTTCAATGGTGGTTTGTATTGAGCTGGTAGTAGTATTGAACTACATACTGTATTGACATGAGAGTTATTTCAAAATTCAGGAATTTATTTCATTTCACAGACAATTCATCTTCTCCTCTTCACACTGGCACCGTGACTTCTCATTCTTTTAACACTATTCTTAATCTCGTATCTCTTACACCACATCCGTCTTCTGCACCAATCACAAATTGATTTATTTCTCTTCGCGTTTACTATTTTACTAACATTCCTACTTCTACTCTTACTAGAACTACTGTTATTGCCGCACATACTTCAACAATTACAATACTGTAGCTACTGATATTCATAATATTACATATACCAATTACTGCGAATACGTCCAACGTGTGAATCAGTCAGTCAGTCAGTCAGTCAGTCAGTCAGTCAGTCAGTCAGTCAGTCAGTCAGTCAGTCAGTCAGTCAGTCAGTCAGTCAGCGACATCGTAGTTAAAGGCATATATGTGCACTAGTCAAAGTTGCCATACCGCATTAGCACAACAACATGAACACCAAATTAATAGAAGTGGTCACTTCAATGGTAGTAATATATAAAAGGATATAGTAGAGAAAGAAAGAATTAGAAAGAAAGGTATAAAGTAATTTTAATCTCACGGCTTAAGGGAAGACAAAGAGTGTATACACCGATGCCATTGTGATCGATTCTGAGCCATGTCACACAGAGTCTCCAGCCATTGGTTACGATAGTCACGCGGACACCAAACAAGTAGTCTGCATCTGCCAACATGTCTCAGGTTAGAAGCTAGTGAAGTTGTTAACGCGTTCGACTACTTCACTCCCTATCCTTAGTTCAAGTGTTGACGCAGGCCAGTCCCGAAGTAACAACATGCATTTAGAGGGGAAGAAGCGCATCCAAAATATTCTGGCATTGTTGCTCAGTGCTACCAGAAGACTCTGCATTTTATCAGCGTCTTCACCAAACACGACTATGTCATCTGCACATTCTAAGTCAATAAGTGGACCTCCTAGAAGGAGATCAATTCCAGAGAATCCAGTCGACGAGAACGTTATTTCCATCAGTATGTCTATGATGAAGTTGGACGAAAATGGAGATAGTGGACAGCCTTGTCGGACACCACTTGAGGTTGCGAAATCAGATGACAGTTTGCTATAAGCTCTGACTCGACTTGTAATGTTTGAGTAGAGAGCGTTCACAATGTTTATATACTTCAATGACAGGCACTGCCACAGAACCTCACTGTTTACAGAGTCAAATGCTGCTTTTAAGTCGATAAAGAATACCATTGTTGGACGCCAATAAGCATGTCTGTGTTCTAGGACCTGACGAATGGTGAATATGTGTTGGATGCAGCCGCAACCAGATCTGAATCCAGTCTGAATTTCTTGTGTTTTCAGTTCGCGAGTCTTCACCAGGTGCCCGATAATTATTGAGGCTGGTGTTTTAGATGCTAGGTTAGTCAAACTAATCATTGTATGGTTATCACAGGATTGTTTCGACACCATTGCTCACGGTCGTTCCTTAGACTTCTGGTTAACCTAGGTCTGACTTGTTTTCGCTCGTCATCTTGTTCAGAGCGTGATGGCATGAGTTTACGTGAATCCATTTGTGCAATAGACTTAATGGAAAAACATTTGTTTTTCGTAACCCTTTGGTTTAAATCACTGATAGATGTCGCTGTTGTTTCCACAGCTGTTTGTATATCTTTCCAAGCAACACTGGGTCAGCCTCGTTTTCAGAACTACCTGAGTGTGACTTCAGTTGTTCCTGGAATCGACTTTTGGCTATCTCGTCACCGAGTTCAACTCTAATGGGTCTTCTCAATGTGGTTTTTCTGTGTCCAGTGAGGCGCAAGCAAATGCGTGCTCGTATTAGAGCATGATTGGAGTCCAAACATGTACTCCAGAAAGAGCGGCAGTCTTCTATCGAGCCTCTCCAACGATCACTGATGGCAAAATGGTCTATTTGAGTTCATAGTTTGTTTAGTTCATGTGGTCACCATGTTAGACAATGTCTCTCCTTATGCTTAAAATTAGTGCTTGCTACAAATAATCGATTGTCTGAGTATAGTTGCACCAGACGATCATCATTATCTGTTCGCTGAGCCGGAATACCAAAATACCCACTTAAATGTCTTTCTGTTTGGTTTAAGCTACCTACTTGGACATTAAAGTCACCTGCTAGGAGTACTATGTCTGGGTGTTTAGTTTTATGAAGAAGTTCAGAAAGCTTTCTGTAAGAGTCATCTTTCACTTCATCCGTGTTGCAGTTAGTGGTAGCGTAGGCACGGACGACGAAAAGGCAACGACGTGTGTCCCTCTCCTCCCGAGTTCTTACGGACCCGCTTAACCGAACAGCACATAGACGACTGTTAACAGGGATCCACTCTAATAGTGCTTGTTCCGCCCTCGTACTTAGTGCTATGCCTACACCTGCCGGTCCACAAGAAATAGACAGATACATGGAGGGTGTATCTCGTCGGCTCTCCGTATTGGCGAGGTGAGGACTAGTGAATGAGTGTTTCAGAAACACAGCACACATCAGTGGTACAAGATACTAGGGTTTTAGCCAAGCATACTTGTTGGCCGATTTGAAATAGGGTGCGTACGTTAAAGGCTCCAATATGCAGTTTGGAACGAAGTTTCAGTAGACCTGGAACAGTGTTCCGCACACTAGAATCGTTGTCCATGATGACGTGTGAATAGATATCCAGTGTGCTGATCTACGTGCTGATTTGAAAATGTTCAATAATAATAGAATAATATTGCATTAGGTCACATTGAATGAAACATGAAGTCAAAAATTATCAGCAGATAAAAACACTAATAAAGATTATGTAAGTGGATTGGATTTAAAGTTGAGAAGGATAACAACTACAGAAATTAATCTCTTTTCAAAAACACTGATCTTTTAAGAACTAAGATTAAAACGATTGTGGTTTGATTACAATGAGAAATATTAGTGTTAATATGGGTTATGTTATTAAAGACTACCATTCAAATACATTAGTTAATCAAATGATAGACAATGCCCTTTACATGTTTTCATTCAATTAAAGTATGAAGTGAGAAATTGTATATGAAAAGGATTATTAAACGATCACACATATGAGAGGTGATCTGTATTGTCTACGTGAACTCTTGTCATTTTATTCATACAACATATTAGCAACAAGAAAATTAGTATATAAGTGAAACTGATTTACAAATACAGCGTATTGAAGTTGCAAATTCAACTTCATATCACACTGATTATCTTATGAATAACTCTGAATCAATCACACACAAATCATGATATTGATGAAGATGATTTTATTGACATTCTGTTTCTATTTGACACTGCAATTGAATCACATTAGTGGACAATTAAATGAACACACCAATGTACAACAGAATCAAACTATCTCACATATTGTTTTTGATGCAAATGAAACTAATCCGATTGCCAAGAACAATCAATCGGAAATGGATGTTACGAGTCTAGTGGAAAATCAATTGAATTCATCATTACCAAACGAAATTCCGATGTCTTATTTATCAGTGACCACATCGAATGATCACATGTACGATGAAAATGTAAACGAATCAAATGTGAAATATGGAGGCGAAGAACAAGGAACAAAATCAGATATTGACAATGAAAAGAAAAGGAAATCACAACAAACACAAATTATCATAGATTTCAGTGGAACAAATGAGAAAAGATTAGCGTTACAAAGACAAATATCGGAAGGAGATGACAGAAAATCTTCGATTTTACAAAATCAAGAGCAGCGAGCAATATCGAAAACAGAAAGAAATATCAGTGAATTTCAAGTAGAACAAGGACAAAACATAGATGAAAAACTGCTTAAAGACAGAAAACCAAAAAGTAAAAAGGAAAATATAAACAAAGAATTAATGGCGCATAAAATCACAACGGAAAACAATATTAAAACAACACTAACAAATATAATATACACACAAATCTCATCCGCATCACCAACATCACAACCAGTTACCGATGTCGCGCAACTCACAACAGAACAATTACTCGACAAATCAGAAGTCATGCCCAACATCACCACCATCATCAACACTGAGGCTACACTCACCACTGCACAATCCACACAACAAACATCTGCATCTCCAACATCACAACCAGTTACCGATGTCGCGCAACTCACAACAGAACAATTACTCGACAAATCAGAAGTCATGCCCAACATCACCACCATCATCAACACTGAGACTACACTCACCACTGCACAATCCACACAACCAACATCTGCATCACCAACATCACAACCAGTTACCGATGTCGCGCAACTCACAACAGAACAATTACTCGACAAATCAGAAGTCATGCCCAACATCACCACCATCATCAACACTGAGACTACACTCACCACTGCACAATCCACACAACCAACATCTGCATCACCAACATCACAACCAGTTACCGATGTCGCGCAACTCACAACAGAACAATTACTCGACAACGCACAAGTCGTGCCAGACAAAACCACCATCATCAACACTGAGACTACACTCACCACTGCACAATCCACACAACCAACATCTGCATCACCAACATCACAACCAGTTACCGATGTCGCGCAACTCACAACAGAACAATTACTCGACAAATCAGAAGTCATGCCCAACATCACCACCATCATCAACACTGAGACTACACTCACCACTGCACAATCCACACAACCAACATCTGCATCACCAACATCACAACCAGTTACCGATGTCGCGCAACTCACAACAGAACAATTACTCGACAAATCAGAAGTCATGCCCAACATCACCACCATCATCAACACCGAGACTACACTCACCACTGCACAATCCACACAACCAACATCTGCATCACCAACATCACAACCAGTTACCGATGTCGCGCAACTCACAACAGAACAATTACTCGACAAATCAGAAGTCATGCCCAACATCACCACCATCATCAACACTGAGACTACACTCACCACTGCACAATCCACACAACCAACATCTGCATCACCAACATCACAACCAGTTACCGATGTCGCGCAACTCACAACAGAACAATTACTCGACAAATCAGAAGTCATGCCCAACATCACCACCATCATCAACACTGAGACTACACTCACCACTGCACAATCCACACAACCAACATCTGCATCACCAACATCACAACCAGTTACCGATGTCGCGCAACTCACAACAGAACAATTACTCGACAAATCAGAAGTCATGCCCAACATCACCACCATCATCAACACTGAGACTACACTCACCACTGCACAATCCACACAACCAACATCTGCATCTCCAACATCACAACCAGTTACCGATGTCGCGCAACTCACAACAGAACAATTACTCGACAAATCAGAAGTCATGCCCAACATCACCACCATCATCAACACTGAGACTACACTCACCACTGCACAATCCACACAACCAACATCTGCATCTCCAACATCACAACCAGTTACCGATGTCGCGCAACTCACAACAGAACAATTACTCGACAAATCAGAAGTCATGCCCAACATCACCACCATCATCAACACTGAGACTACACTCACCACTGCACAATCCACACAACCAACATCTGCATCACCAACATCACAACCAGTTACCGATGTCGCGCAACTCACAACAGAACAATTACTCGACAAATCAGAAGTCATGCCCAACATCACCACCATCATCAACACTGAGACTACACTCACCACTGCACAATCCACACAACCAACATCTGCATCACCAACATCACAACCAGTTACCGATGTCGCGCAACTCACAACAGAACAATTACTCGACAAATCAGAAGTCATGCCCAACATCACCACCATCATCAACACTGAGACTACACTCACCACTGCACAATCCACACAACCAACATCTGCATCACCAACATCACAACCAGTTACCGATGTCGCGCAACTCACAACAGAACAATTACTCGACAAATCAGAAGTCATGCCCAACATCACCACCATCATCAACACTGAGACTACACTCACCACTGCACAATCCACACAACCAACATCTGCATCACCAACATCACAACCAGTTACCGATGTCGCGCAACTCACAACAGAACAATTACTCGACAAATCAGAAGTCATGCCCAACATCACCACCATCATCAACACTGAGACTACACTCACCACTGCACAATCCACACAACCAACATCTGCATCTCCAACATCACAACCAGTTACCGATGTCGCGCAACTCACAACAGAACAATTACTCGACAAATCAGAAGTCATGCCCAACATCACCACCATCATCAACACTGAGGCTACACTCACCACTGCACAATCCACACAACCAACATCTGCATCACCAACATCACAACCAGTTACCGATGTCGCGCAACTCACAACAGAACAATTACTCGACAAATCAGAAGTCATGCCCAACATCACCACCATCATCAACACTGAGACTACACTCACCACTGCACAATCCACACAACCAACATCTGCATCTCCAACATCACAACCAGTTACCGATGTCGCGCAACTCACAACAGAACAATTACTCGACAAATCAGAAGTCATGCCCAACATCACCACCATCATCAACACTGAGGCTACACTCACCACTGCACAATCCACACAACCAACATCTGCATCACCAACATCACAACCAGTTACCGATGTCGCGCAACTCACAACAGAACAATTACTCGACAAATCAGAAGTCATGCCCAACATCACCACCATCATCAACACTGAGACTACACTCACCACTGCACAATCCACACAACCAACATCTGCATCACCAACATCACAACCAGTTACCGATGTCGCGCAACTCACAACAGAACAATTACTCGACAAATCAGAAGTCATGCCCAACATCACCACCATCATCAACACTGAGACTACACTCACCACTGCACAATCCACACAACCAACATCTGCATCACCAACATCACAACCAGTTACCGATGTCGCGCAACTCACAACAGAACAATTACTCGACAAATCAGAAGTCATGCCCAACATCACCACCATCATCAACACTGAGGCTACACTCACCACTGCACAATCCACACAACCAACATCTGCATCACCAACATCACAACCAGTTACCGATGTCGCGCAACTCACAACAGAACAATTACTCGACAAATCAGAAGTCATGCCCAACATCACCACCATCATCAACACTGAGACTACACTCACCACTGCACAATCCACACAACCAACATCTGCATCTCCAACATCACAACCAGTTACCGATGTCGCGCAACTCACAACAGAACAATTACTCGACAAATCAGAAGTCATGCCCAACATCACCACCATCATCAACACTGAGACTACACTCACCACTGCACAATCCACACAACCAACATCTGCATCACCAACATCACAACCAGTTACCGATGTCGCGCAACTCACAACAGAACAATTACTCGACAAATCAGAAGTCATGCCCAACATCACCACCATCATCAACACTGAGACTACACTCACCACTGCACAATCCACACAACCAACATCTGCATCACCAACATCACAACCAGTTACCGATGTCGCGCAACTCACAACAGAACAATTACTCGACAAATCAGAAGTCATGCCCAACATCACCACCATCATCAACACTGAGGCTACACTCACCACTGCACAATCCACACAACCAACATCTGCATCACCAACATCACAACCAGTTACCGATGTCGCGCAACTCACAACAGAACAATTACTCGACAAATCAGAAGTCATGCCCAACATCACCACCATCATCAACACTGAGACTACACTCACCACTGCACAATCCACACAACCAACATCTGCATCACCAACATCACAACCAGTTACCGATGTCGCGCAACTCACAACAGAACAATTACTCGACAAATCAGAAGTCATGCCCAACATCACCACCATCATCAACACTGAGACTACACTCACCACTGCACAATCCACACAACCAACATCTGCATCACCAACATCACAACCAGTTACCGATGTCGCGCAACTCACAACAGAACAATTACTCGACAAATCAGAAGTCATGCCCAACATCACCACCATCATCAACACTGAGACTACACTCACCACTGCACAATCCACACAACCAACATCTGCATCACCAACATCACAACCAGTTACCGATGTCGCGCAACTCACAACAGAACAATTACTCGACAAATCAGAAGTCATGCCCAACATCACCACCATCATCAACACTGAGACTACACTCACCACTGCACAATCCACACAACCAACATCTGCATCACCAACATCACAACCAGTTACCGATGTCGCGCAACTCACAACAGAACAATTACTCGACAAATCAGAAGTCATGCCCAACATCACCACCATCATCAACACTGAGACTACACTCACCACTGCACAATCCACACAACCAACATCTGCATCACCAACATCACAACCAGTTACCGATGTCGCGCAACTCACAACAGAACAATTACTCGACAAATCAGAAGTCATGCCCAACATCACCACCATCATCAACACTGAGACTACACTCACCACTGCACAATCCACACAACCAACATCTGCATCACCAACATCACAACCAGTTACCGATGTCGCGCAACTCACAACAGAACAATTACTCGACAAATCAGAAGTCATGCCCAACATCACCACCATCATCAACACTGAGACTACACTCACCACTGCACAATCCACACAACCAACATCTGCATCACCAACATCACAACCAGTTACCGATGTCGCGCAACTCACAACAGAACAATTACTCGACAAATCAGAAGTCATGCCCAACATCACCACCATCATCAACACTGAGACTACACTCACCACTGCACAATCCACACAACCAACATCTGCATCACCAACATCACAACCAGTTACCGATGTCGCGCAACTCACAACAGAACAATTACTCGACAAATCAGAAGTCATGCCCAACATCACCACCATCATCAACACTGAGACTACACTCACCACTGCACAATCCACACAACCAACATCTGCATCACCAACATCACAACCAGTTACCGATGTCGCGCAACTCACAACAGAACAATTACTCGACAAATCAGAAGTCATGCCCAACATCACCACCATCATCAACACTGAGACTACACTCACCACTGCACAATCCACACAACCAACATCTGCATCACCAACATCACAACCAGTTACCGATGTCGCGCAACTCACAACAGAACAATTACTCGACAAATCAGAAGTCATGCCCAACATCACCACCATCATCAACACTGAGACTACACTCACCACTGCACAATCCACACAACCAACATCTGCATCACCAACATCACAACCAGTTACCGATGTCGCGCAACTCACAACAGAACAATTACTCGACAAATCAGAAGTCATGCCCAACATCACCACCATCATCAACACTGAGACTACACTCACCACTGCACAATCCACACAACCAACATCTGCATCACCAACATCACAACCAGTTACCGATGTCGCGCAACTCACAACAGAACAATTACTCGACAAATCAGAAGTCATGCCCAACATCACCACCATCATCAACACTGAGACTACACTCACCACTGCACAATCCACACAACCAACATCTGCATCACCAACATCACAACCAGTTACCGATGTCGCGCAACTCACAACAGAACAATTACTCGACAAATCAGAAGTCATGCCCAACATCACCACCATCATCAACACTGAGACTACACTCACCACTGCACAATCCACACAACCAACATCTGCATCACCAACATCACAACCAGTTACCGATGTCGCGCAACTCACAACAGAACAATTACTCGACAAATCAGAAGTCATGCCCAACATCACCACCATCATCAACACTGAGACTACACTCACCACTGCACAATCCACACAACCAACATCTGCATCACCAACATCACAACCAGTTACCGATGTCGCGCAACTCACAACAGAACAATTACTCGACAAATCAGAAGTCATGCCCAACATCACCACCATCATCAACACTGAGACTACACTCACCACTGCACAATCCACACAACCAACATCTGCATCACCAACATCACAACCAGTTACCGATGTCGCGCAACTCACAACAGAACAATTACTCGACAAATCAGAAGTCATGCCCAACATCACCACCATCATCAACACTGAGACTACACTCACCACTGCACAATCCACACAACCAACATCTGCATCACCAACATCACAACCAGTTACCGATGTCGCGCAACTCACAACAGAACAATTACTCGACAAATCAGAAGTCATGCCCAACATCACCACCATCATCAACACTGAGACTACACTCACCACTGCACAATCCACACAACCAACATCTGCATCACCAACATCACAACCAGTTACCGATGTCGCGCAACTCACAACAGAACAATTACTCGACAAATCAGAAGTCATGCCCAACATCACCACCATCATCAACACTGAGACTACACTCACCACTGCACAATCCACACAACCAACATCTGCATCACCAACATCACAACCAGTTACCGATGTCGCGCAACTCACAACAGAACAATTACTCGACAAATCAGAAGTCATGCCCAACATCACCACCATCATCAACACTGAGACTACACTCACCACTGCACAATCCACACAACCAACATCTGCATCACCAACATCACAACCAGTTACCGATGTCGCGCAACTCACAACAGAACAATTACTCGACAAATCAGAAGTCATGCCCAACATCACCACCATCATCAACACTGAGACTACACTCACCACTGCACAATCCACACAACCAACATCTGCATCACCAACATCACAACCAGTTACCGATGTCGCGCAACTCACAACAGAACAATTACTCGACAAATCAGAAGTCATGCCCAACATCACCACCATCATCAACACTGAGACTACACTCACCACTGCACAATCCACACAACCAACATCTGCATCACCAACATCACAACCAGTTACCGATGTCGCGCAACTCACAACAGAACAATTACTCGACAAATCAGAAGTCATGCCCAACATCACCACCATCATCAACACTGAGACTACACTCACCACTGCACAATCCACACAACCAACATCTGCATCACCAACATCACAACCAGTTACCGATGTCGCGCAACTCACAACAGAACAATTACTCGACAAATCAGAAGTCATGCCCAACATCACCACCATCATCAACACTGAGACTACACTCACCACTGCACAATCCACACAACCAACATCTGCATCACCAACATCACAACCAGTTACCGATGTCGCGCAACTCACAACAGAACAATTACTCGACAAATCAGAAGTCATGCCCAACATCACCACCATCATCAACACTGAGACTACACTCACCACTGCACAATCCACACAACCAACATCTGCATCACCAACATCACAACCAGTTACCGATGTCGCGCAACTCACAACAGAACAATTACTCGACAAATCAGAAGTCATGCCCAACATCACCACCATCATCAACACTGAGACTACACTCACCACTGCACAATCCACACAACCAACATCTGCATCACCAACATCACAACCAGTTACCGATGTCGCGCAACTCACAACAGAACAATTACTCGACAAATCAGAAGTCATGCCCAACATCACCACCATCATCAACACTGAGACTACACTCACCACTGCACAATCCACACAACCAACATCTGCATCACCAACATCACAACCAGTTACCGATGTCGCGCAACTCACAACAGAACAATTACTCGACAAATCAGAAGTCATGCCCAACATCACCACCATCATCAACACTGAGACTACACTCACCACTGCACAATCCACACAACCAACATCTGCATCACCAACATCACAACCAGTTACCGATGTCGCGCAACTCACAACAGAACAATTACTCGACAAATCAGAAGTCATGCCCAACATCACCACCATCATCAACACTGAGACTACACTCACCACTGCACAATCCACACAACCAACATCTGCATCACCAACATCACAACCAGTTACCGATGTCGCGCAACTCACAACAGAACAATTACTCGACAAATCAGAAGTCATGCCCAACATCACCACCATCATCAACACTGAGACTACACTCACCACTGCACAATCCACACAACCAACATCTGCATCACCAACATCACAACCAGTTACCGATGTCGCGCAACTCACAACAGAACAATTACTCGACAAATCAGAAGTCATGCCCAACATCACCACCATCATCAACACTGAGACTACACTCACCACTGCACAATCCACACAACCAACATCTGCATCACCAACATCACAACCAGTTACCGATGTCGCGCAACTCACAACAGAACAATTACTCGACAAATCAGAAGTCATGCCCAACATCACCACCATCATCAACACTGAGACTACACTCACCACTGCACAATCCACACAACCAACATCTGCATCACCAACATCACAACCAGTTACCGATGTCGCGCAACTCACAACAGAACAATTACTCGACAAATCAGAAGTCATGCCCAACATCACCACCATCATCAACACTGAGACTACACTCACCACTGCACAATCCACACAACCAACATCTGCATCACCAACATCACAACCAGTTACCGATGTCGCGCAACTCACAACAGAACAATTACTCGACAAATCAGAAGTCATGCCCAACATCACCACCATCATCAACACTGAGACTACACTCACCACTGCACAATCCACACAACCAACATCTGCATCACCAACATCACAACCAGTTACCGATGTCGCGCAACTCACAACAGAACAATTACTCGACAAATCAGAAGTCATGCCCAACATCACCACCATCATCAACACTGAGACTACACTCACCACTGCACAATCCACACAACCAACATCTGCATCACCAACATCACAACCAGTTACCGATGTCGCGCAACTCACAACAGAACAATTACTCGACAAATCAGAAGTCATGCCCAACATCACCACCATCATCAACACTGAGACTACACTCACCACTGCACAATCCACACAACCAACATCTGCATCACCAACATCACAACCAGTTACCGATGTCGCGCAACTCACAACAGAACAATTACTCGACAAATCAGAAGTCATGCCCAACATCACCACCATCATCAACACTGAGACTACACTCACCACTGCACAATCCACACAACCAACATCTGCATCACCAACATCACAACCAGTTACCGATGTCGCGCAACTCACAACAGAACAATTACTCGACAAATCAGAAGTCATGCCCAACATCACCACCATCATCAACACTGAGACTACACTCACCACTGCACAATCCACACAACCAACATCTGCATCACCAACATCACAACCAGTTACCGATGTCGCGCAACTCACAACAGAACAATTACTCGACAAATCAGAAGTCATGCCCAACATCACCACCATCATCAACACTGAGACTACACTCACCACTGCACAATCCACACAACCAACATCTGCATCACCAACATCACAACCAGTTACCGATGTCGCGCAACTCACAACAGAACAATTACTCGACAAATCAGAAGTCATGCCCAACATCACCACCATCATCAACACTGAGACTACACTCACCACTGCACAATCCACACAACCAACATCTGCATCACCAACATCACAACCAGTTACCGATGTCGCGCAACTCACAACAGAACAATTACTCGACAAATCAGAAGTCATGCCCAACATCACCACCATCATCAACACTGAGACTACACTCACCACTGCACAATCCACACAACCAACATCTGCATCACCAACATCACAACCAGTTACCGATGTCGCGCAACTCACAACAGAACAATTACTCGACAAATCAGAAGTCATGCCCAACATCACCACCATCATCAACACTGAGACTACACTCACCACTGCACAATCCACACAACCAACATCTGCATCACCAACATCACAACCAGTTACCGATGTCGCGCAACTCACAACAGAACAATTACTCGACAAATCAGAAGTCATGCCCAACATCACCACCATCATCAACACTGAGACTACACTCACCACTGCACAATCCACACAACCAACATCTGCATCACCAACATCACAACCAGTTACCGATGTCGCGCAACTCACAACAGAACAATTACTCGACAAATCAGAAGTCATGCCCAACATCACCACCATCATCAACACTGAGACTACACTCACCACTGCACAATCCACACAACCAACATCTGCATCACCAACATCACAACCAGTTACCGATGTCGCGCAACTCACAACAGAACAATTACTCGACAAATCAGAAGTCATGCCCAACATCACCACCATCATCAACACTGAGACTACACTCACCACTGCACAATCCACACAACCAACATCTGCATCACCAACATCACAACCAGTTACCGATGTCGCGCAACTCACAACAGAACAATTACTCGACAAATCAGAAGTCATGCCCAACATCACCACCATCATCAACACTGAGACTACACTCACCACTGCACAATCCACACAACCAACATCTGCATCACCAACATCACAACCAGTTACCGATGTCGCGCAACTCACAACAGAACAATTACTCGACAAATCAGAAGTCATGCCCAACATCACCACCATCATCAACACTGAGACTACACTCACCACTGCACAATCCACACAACCAACATCTGCATCACCAACATCACAACCAGTTACCGATGTCGCGCAACTCACAACAGAACAATTACTCGACAAATCAGAAGTCATGCCCAACATCACCACCATCATCAACACTGAGGCTACACTCACCACTGCACAATCCACACAACCAACATCTGCATCACCAACATCACAACCAGTTACCGATGTCGCGCAACTCACAACAGAACAATTACTCGACAAATCAGAAGTCATGCCCAACATCACCACCATCATCAACACTGAGACTACACTCACCACTGCACAATCCACACAACCAACATCTGCATCTCCAACATCACAACCAGTTACCGATGTCGCGCAACTCACAACAGAACAATTACTCGACAAATCAGAAGTCATGCCCAACATCACCACCATCATCAACACTGAGACTACACTCACCACTGCACAATCCACACAACCAACATCTGCATCACCAACATCACAACCAGTTACCGATGTCGCGCAACTCACAACAGAACAATTACTCGACAAATCAGAAGTCATGCCCAACATCACCACCATCATCAACACTGAGACTACACTCACCACTGCACAATCCACACAACCAACATCTGCATCACCAACATCACAACCAGTTACCGATGTCGCGCAACTCACAACAGAACAATTACTCGACAAATCAGAAGTCATGCCCAACATCACCACCATCATCAACACTGAGACTACACTCACCACTGCACAATCCACACAACCAACATCTGCATCACCAACATCACAACCAGTTACCGATGTCGCGCAACTCACAACAGAACAATTACTCGACAAATCAGAAGTCATGCCCAACATCACCACCATCATCAACACTGAGACTACACTCACCACTGCACAATCCACACAACCAACATCTGCATCACCAACATCACAACCAGTTACCGATGTCGCGCAACTCACAACAGAACAATTACTCGACAAATCAGAAGTCATGCCCAACATCACCACCATCATCAACACTGAGACTACACTCACCACTGCACAATCCACACAACCAACATCTGCATCACCAACATCACAACCAGTTACCGATGTCGCGCAACTCACAACAGAACAATTACTCGACAAATCAGAAGTCATGCCCAACATCACCACCATCATCAACACTGAGACTACACTCACCACTGCACAATCCACACAACCAACATCTGCATCACCAACATCACAACCAGTTACCGATGTCGCGCAACTCACAACAGAACAATTACTCGACAAATCAGAAGTCATGCCCAACATCACCACCATCATCAACACTGAGACTACACTCACCACTGCACAATCCACACAACCAACATCTGCATCACCAACATCACAACCAGTTACCGATGTCGCGCAACTCACAACAGAACAATTACTCGACAAATCAGAAGTCATGCCCAACATCACCACCATCATCAACACTGAGACTACACTCACCACTGCACAATCCACGCAACCAATATCTGCATCACCAACATCACAACCAGTTACCGATGTCGCGCAACTCACAACAGAACAATTACTCGACAAATCAGAAGTCATGCCCAACATCACCACCATCATCAACACTGAGACTACACTCACCACTGCACAATCCACACAACCAACATCTGCATCACCAACATCACAACCAGTTACCGATGTCGCGCAACTCACAACAGAACAATTACTCGACAAATCAGAAGTCATGCCCAACATCACCACCATCATCAACACTGAGACTACACTCACCACTGCACAATCCACACAACCAACATCTGCATCACCAACATCACAACCAGTTACCGATGTCGCGCAGCTCACAACAGAACAATTACTCGACAAATCAGAAGTCATGCCCAACATCACCACCATCATCAACACCGAGACTACACTCACCACTGCACAATCCACACAACCAACATCTGCATCACCAACATCACAACCAGTTACCGATGTCGCGCAACTCACAACAGAACAATTACTCGACAAATCAGAAGTCATGCCCAACATCACCACCATCATCAACACTGAGACTACACTCACCACTGCACAATCCACACAACCAACATCTGCATCACCAACATCACAACCAGTTACCGATGTCGCGCAACTCACAACAGAACAATTAATCGACAAATCAGAAGTCATGCCCAACATCACCACCATCATCAACACTGAGACTACACTCACCACTGCACAATCCACACAACCAACATCTGCATCACCAACATCACAACCAGTTACCGATGTCGCGCAACTCACAACAGAACAATTACTCGACAAATCAGAAGTCATGCCCAACATCACCACCATCATCAACACTGAGACTACACTCACCACTGCACAATCCACACAACCAACATCTGCATCACCAACATCACAACCAGTTACCGATGTCGCGCAACTCACAACAGAACAATTACTCGACAAATCAGAAGTCATGCCCAACATCACCACCATCATCAACACTGAGACTACACTCACCACTGCACAATCCACACAACCAACATCTGCATCACCAACATCACAACCAGTTACCGATGTCGCGCAACTCACAACAGAACAATTACTCGACAAATCAGAAGTCATGCCCAACATCACCACCATCATCAACACTGAGACTACACTCACCACTGCACAATCCACGCAACCAATATCTGCATCACCAACATCACAACCAGTTACCGATGTCGCGCAACTCACAACAGAACAATTACTCGACAAATCAGAAGTCATGCCCAACATCACCACCATCATCAACACTGAGGCTACGCTCTCCGCTGCAGCATACAGAGAACAGTCGTCTACCTATGAAGCATCTAGGCGGTTTTTCGATATCTCTCATCTTGAAATAATCTTTAATGGTTCCTTAACTCGTTTATGAAATTTTTGGTTTTCTTATTCTCTGTTATTTCTTCGTGCTTTTGTCAATGCGCTATTTGCTTTTGAAAATTTTTTTGTTTTCGTCTTAATTTTTTCTATGATATTTTGCGTAATCTTTTCTTTCTCCTTATTTCTCTTTCGAGTTTTTGTAGTGATGTTTGTAAATTTTCTTTTTATCGTGACAATGGTGTTGATTGTTTTCATAGGAGGCAATGTATTTACACAGATGGATTGTGAAGTGTTTTGAAGTGTTTGACGCTTTTCATTACATAGTTGATCAACTGATAATACAGCATTGATTATTTTACAGGTTTCATTTGTTATTCAACACCCATTCATTTCAAACATTTAGTATGTATTTATGGAATGGAGTGAAGAGTGTCAACCGATGGGACAAATGTGTCCTATCCTATTAACGAACATTCAACTGATGTTAGTCGGTGACACCAATCATCTATCAATCAAATCATCCTCTACAAACTCTTTCACACCAAATCTCTTAGTTTAATAAACATTTTCTATTGTTGATCTGAAGAACTATAGTGAATAGTGAGTAATTATGTAAGTTAATCATGTAACAAATAATGATTTTAGCAACGTAGTAATGTCGTTAAGTTGATAACATCTTGAAATTCATTGGTTTCACTTAAATCAACGAATTCGAAATCAAGATATTTGACTTCTTATAACTGAAATTCAGAAGACAATATGTAGGTTAAGTAAGAATTGGAACTGTTGGTCTCTGAAGAACTGGGTTTATTTTCACTTCAACTGTGAATATTCTACTTATTGTTTGGATAACATTAATTAACGATGATAATAAGAATAACAGTAATAGATGAACACTGTACCAATTGCTGAGATTTAAGTTTCAATATTCTTTTTATTCATCTCGATGTGTTCTAGTTACGAGGATGTGGTTAAACATGCATGAGTAACAGCAGGAAAGAAGCAAAAATGTTGGTGTCTTTCCGTTATGCTATTGTACTGCCAAGTTATTTCTCAAGTATATAATCTTTTAGTGAGGCATAATATATTTTAGAACTCAGCAGAACTGACCATACCAAACTAGATGGACGAGAAATAAATGTGGTAGCAGTGATAGTTAGAAAGTTTGAGACTATGCGTTCGAAAAGACGAAATCCGAACATTTATGTACTATTTTTGTAGAAACCCTAATCTCATACTTCATAGTTTTTATTATTTATCCATGAAAGATTCTTCACCATGATCAGTAACCTTTTGATAACATGCCTTACCCGTTATTATACTAGTGAAGATTAAATTACAAGTAACTTCTGAGGACTATTTATAGACTAATATTATGTATTTTCTTATTGTATGACTATTCAGTAACTAGATTAGGTATATCTATATTCCTCTTATTATAAACTCCATTTTGAGCTATAAATTATTATTATTATACGATCTGCTGTTCTTAAATTATATTCTTTTTATTGGTTACAGTCTCCCACGTTCACAGACACTTTTTGGCTTGATCTTGTATAAATGTTATTTCCTATTTTAAGTTGTGATACGGTCTGTTTGGCCGGTACATAAACCAAGTATGTTTGAAATAAATAATTCGCATAGTGTAAGCTGTTACTGGCGTTATGGATTCAAGTGGACGGTCTAGGCGAACAAGGGACCAATAAGGATACTAGGCTGCTCATACCACTCGAACGTCCTTGGTTTAGCACAGTACTAAATTTGAATAAGTCGTATTCGATTGACGAGTAAATCCCGCGATAATACAGACGGGCTTAAAGCCATAACATTACCAATTTTAGTACGTTAATTATGGTGTTCAATTAAATAACTTCTTAGGGAGTTGTCATCTCTATCGTTACCTTGTAAATAATTTTGTCCTATATAATAACAATAAACCATTAGATTTCAATAATGACTAACACATACACCTAAAAGTGATCAACAATCCAGTTAAAATTTGTGACAAATAGATCAAAAAGATCTTGACCACATAAATTGGATTGTTCTATTTTAGTTGATCACTTAAGACTTTATTAAAAGCGTAACAATTTCTTGGCTTTTGGGTTTAATATCTTCTTAAGGAATACAAAAACAATGTCGAAACTGAGATCATTTCAAATTGGCATATAATTGTATCTCATTTTTTATGAATAACAAATCTAATATACACTTATGTTTTTCTTTGACTCATGTAGACACAGCAATACAAATAATTCCTGATTAAATACTTTTTTGATTGATGGATTATCTACAGTGTTATAAATCGTACACATGATACATTCTAATTTCATTACAAATAATCATAATCATTTCTTCAATGTTATACACTGATTGTATATCTTCGTTAAATAATCTCTGTCAAAAAAAAAACAAATACAAAGATATTATAGTGGTAGACATTTAATTCAACAATAAAGTCAATCTCACTAATCTATTAGTATTCAGATCCATGATGTTTATTTTGGTGTATTTTCGCTACTAAGTGCATATCGTCCATAGTCTTATTGCTCACACTTGGAAATGGGAACCGCTGAAATTCCCAATGACACAAAGTAAGAACGCAAAAGACTGATGTAATCAAAACGTTTTGGTTTCCCGAAACATGTTCACAGAAAAATCCCTGAAACACATCGTCTTTAGGTAGAAATACAATTATTTATATGTTGATTCGTGCACATAATAGTATAACATGGAAGGGAAAGTGGATGTAGTTACAGTAAAAACGTACACATTCAACATAGTTCATCCAAATTGATAGAAGGAGGAAAAATGTCACTCTGAACGAAGATTTACACTTATCGTATTGAATGGTGTTTAAGCCAGATTAATACAAGAAATATTGACCTAAAAATGTCACAATCAATGAAGTTCACATGTCAGTCTGGTCGTTCATAATCAATTGATACAATAATATTGATCTGAATAACGAAATATTATCCTGTTATACCACATAGTTTACGAATCATCCAACAGCACATGTAATAATCAATTACGAGACACTCACAAATCCATCATCCTACAAATATGCAACTACTCTTGAAATTACTAGTCAACCAAAACCAGGGTGGTAGATCATAGATTCTCATGAGTCAAAAACACCCACTATTAGATTCACAGGTGTCTAATCGATCAAAATCAGTTGGGTAGTCAAAGTCGAACCTTGATTCTTCAATGTTTGGTACATTTCAACAATCAGATTAGTTCCATGTACCATGAAATAGTCAAGAACAATTGCCACAAGCGTCACAGACTGATATAGTAAGATTAATCACAGTAGTCTGGTCAGCCAAAAATGAGAATTCATTTGATTAAAAATACTTCTAGAAAATTTCATTGTATTAAATTTCAAAAACCTGGTTGGTTTTAACAATTGAAATCAACACCCACTAACACTTAGATTGTAGTGTCGGTTACTATGTTAAGCCCATATAACTTATTCTAGCTTCTGAACAGGCCAATTTATCCATTCTTCTTGAGTCACGTTTTGACCTTGTTAATTACTCATTTATCAACGTTGGCTGTTTTTATGATACTTTCAGTGTGAAACTCAACTCGTCCAGCTTGTAAATTTGCTTTATTTTCTAGTCCATTGACATGAATTTCTTGAGGTAATTAAGTATTTCTTCTCTTGAGACCAATCTGGGTCGTAGAAATCCATGAATAAGATTCCATTTGTGATTTTGCTCTCTCTAAATTATAAACCGTGAATGCTCTGGACGAATGACTATGCAGGCTGTCTTTTTGAGGGCTTCATTGTACCAGGTTTTCATGAAAATCATGTAGTTCAACTTCAGGACTTGAAGTTGTCTTAGGATCAATTAAAGACGATGTACAAGATCTGGATAAATAAATATCCGTTGTCAGATGAACAATGGATTTATTTGAAGGTGACACAACTGAATCATTTGATCGTAATACACTTTGGCTCATTTTCATTGTACTGCCATCAGCAAACTGACCAACTGATTCCCATGTGATTCCGTTCAATGTATCCATAATTGTATGACCACTAGACGCTCCAGATACCTCTTTTGCTGCATACCCAGTGCCAGGAAAATAAATTTCAGTTAAAGCTTGTGAACATTGACTACGTTCTATTGGTACATCAGTTAAATGGAATTCGTAATTAGTAGAAAGATTTGAAGCAGAAGTGGACAGATTAGCATTAAGATGAATGGTTCCAATGTTCTGATTACTCAGTTGGCCTCGAATAGTTCCAGTTGACAGTCCTTTGTTAACACTACGTAGAATATCTTGACATTTATCTATCAAGTGTACGGTCTTGTATTTCTTCAGCCGAACCTAGACACCCATGGGTTGACTGATTTTCAGGAGATAAAAGTGTATATGTTCGTTCAAGACGTTTTATTCATCTTTCTTCCGTTATTTAGCCAACTAACGAGTAGCCAGGTTCACATTCCGACCAAGAAGACCATTCTGATCAAGCAGAAATTAGTCCAAGTTCATTGTCTGGACAAAATCCTGAGCTACCACGTTTTTGAGTCTCACACGATCTTATTTCTTTTGCTGATCTTCGGCATAGACGTCCACCAAACTGAGGTGGCGGTTGGGTACATTCACATTCCCTAGTCTGTAGTCCAACATAACAGGTACGCGAATAGGCTGACCATGATGACCAGTTCAACAATCACCATGAATTGGACACGCTTCTGACTGACACTCAGAAGTTTCTGTACTTCCTGTCGGTGTACAATCTTCACCTCCATATGCTGGGACCGGACTGTCTCATATACGAGTACGACTACATTGACCACTACATCTATGTGAACAGTGAGACCAAGAGCTATATGTCCCCCATCCTCCACTTATTGGACAAGGGCCACGGTTACAAGAACGCACCATCAGGTCTTGCCCTGGACATGATGTGCCACCATATGACGGTGTTGGATTATCACATGTTCGTTTACGATTTTGAGTTCCTCCTGTTCCGCGTGCTGATGAATAATCAGATCAAGGAGACCATGGTGACCAAATACTGGAATACCTTCACACATCACATCTTCAACAGCTTCACCAACACATGACCTGCCACCATTGTTTGGGAGTGGACTATCACAACGTCTTCGTCTCTGATATAAACGTACACCTGCACAAACAGGCTATGGTGTCCAACCACCCCATTCACCATCAGTAGGACAGAATTTTACCGAACATGGACGAATTTCAGTATTTTCTTCCGTACAATAAATACCTCTATATTTTTGAGCTGGATTAGTACATATCCGAGTCCTTGATTGGGTTCCATGTCCACAGTTTGACCACATTCTGACCATTGAGACCAATCCGACCATCTACTATCTAACTAAACTTTTAAAATGGCAGGTGGTGGGAAAACGTCAAGATTTGTCACAATTCTGTAAAATGACATGAATATAAATACAAAGATAGAGGTTTTTAGAGGAGTTATGTCATGGTGTTCCTAACACAGAAAATACTTCATAATCTTTAAGTAATCAGTTATCACATTATTATGAATTACATGAGCCGGTCAACACGTTCGAATTATCGAATATCAAATCTTTAAATGTTACTTATCACTGTGGATCAATGGAGATTAATGAGTAAATATCACTAGTTCACTTTATTGAACAGTTTACAATATTTGTGATTCTTCATGGTACATATACCGAAACTGATATACAGTGTTTAATTTAACATACCGGATTTCTATGCATAGATATCTAGGTAAAATGAGTTCACTGTAATGATTTAAAAGCAAACGACCAGCCAGAATCGCCTAAATATTGACACAACTTTCGAGATAACACGCATAAGCAGTAATTTAAACGAAACAGTGGCAGTCATACATGATCCACTCAGTGGTCCAGTAATGTCCATTTCAGAGACATACACTGTAGTGCATTCAAACCCCATTGTCTCCGGAACACAATGTACAATCAGTGACTTGCCCAGCTCACAGAAAGACGTTGTCTTGTTATATACTGATGAAATTATTGCAGTAGCTGAGCATGGAGAAACCGAAAATCGATCGAGCAGCATAATGGAACTCATCATTCTGCGACAAAAGTTTCCGATGAATCTACTTATCGGGATTCTCGAGTTGTTTTACCAGATATGGGTTATCCCAATGACTCACATGTTTTTGATGAAATTTCTTACAAAATGTGAAAAATATGTTGGTGTTATGTCCCGATAAGTATGAAGAATGGTAATTCTTGGGATCCATTTATGGACCAATACTATGCTTATATTTTTTTCGTATAATTGTTAAATAACTAAACTATTCATATTCATGTTCCTCTTATTATAAGCTTTATTTTGACCTATGAACCATTATCATACGTTTTACCATTCTTGAATTATGCCCTATCTACTAGTCACTGCCTCCCACATTCACAGCCACATTTGGCCAAATCTTGTATAAATGTTGTTTCGGCGAGACTATAATTTATGGACGAACCAATCAGATATAAGATAACGAGTCACGAATTTTGGCGCGAACTTCATCCATACATTTGTCTAAATAGAGTTTTGGCATTATAGCTGATGTCAGTTCGTGATAAAAACCCTAGACTGCTCGTACGGGTTTTACGCGTCATTGGTCCGATCGATAATTCACTGCTCTCTAGTTGGCAGTATCGTTACGTTACACATTAGCAGTGCACATAGGCCGCAATTTATAACAGTCGGATGAACCAAATGATGATCAAAAATCCAATTCAATTTTGATAGATACTGGTTTTCCTAGTGATCCGTTATCTACTAATGAGATTCTCAAGAAATTTGAAGAATCAGACGCTGATGACCTCATCCTCACCATCTAGTCGCATTAATTGTAACCTGGGCATATAAGGATCCAACATTATTTCTTTAGGGAGGATAGAGTCGGAAAATTTAAAGTCAGGATCTAAACTTCAAGTCTTTAAATAAAGGGGGTGATATGACGGGATGAAAAGTCAGGATTACATTCTTTTACCTATTATGATTTTTGTTCAACATCCGTTTACATTGAATGTAATAATTATTCAGTGTAGTATTTGTTTTGTTTTCCCATATGACATTTTATTCTGTATAAAATACGATATTCTTGTATTAAATTAACATGAATTAGCCTCAGCATGACACTCAGCATATGGTAGGCTATAACCCTAAGTATTTTTCATATACGTGATTTCATCCTAATTATACGAATTAATATATAAATGATTGTATTTTGGAATAGAATTGTCGTCGTGTTTTCGGGTTAATAAATCATCATTTTTGCATTAGTCTTGGTGTTCTTCCTTTGCATCGGTAGCTCGCATTACAAGTATAAGTGATAAGTGATTTGGACATAAAAATCAGAGACGAACAGATAAAACAAAGTATTGTTCAATCAAGTAGACATATCATGAACCCGAAACACAGAACGAATGGACTACAAAAAAATAAGAAAAGGAGTTGTCCCAAGATTCGAGAATCAAAGCAGGAAAGCCAAAATGGATATTTGGGTGTATAAAAAAAGACGTAGGAAGGTATTGTATGAGTGATGGTTGAAAATACACTAATTACTAGACGTATAAATCATTTGCGATATAGAAAAAATGTAAATGAGTCATCTAAAGCCAAACCTTTGCCAGTGGAAATATTATGTGATACATTTAATATCCCACTACTACCACCACCACAAGTTGAAATGAGAAGAAATGAGTCAAAATTAGAATCTTGTTAAAGGTCATCATGATAACAGAAACAAACGAGATTTTTTCCAGATAGACCCAATGGTGAAGTCATAGGAACAAATTTCACGAGGGAAACGATGTGTGGATGAATTTGATAATGATTAGTCGTTTGCTTAGTCAGACTTGTAGATAATCTGATGGGCATTAGGTGAGTTATATGTTCTCCTATCCTTATTATCATTGATCGTTGTTGTATTGTGTCAGATAGTTGTCGCTTGTTGGTGTGGAAATGTATTTACATTCTGGTCAGGCTTGTCACGTGTTCTAGATCGGAGTTGTATTGAGGTCTAGTAGAATAGACGCTGGGAGGGAATGTAGTGGGCTACCTGTTCTTGCCATCTAGATATTTCAACAAGTTATCTATTTTTGTTTGTTTTAATGTATTATTATGTTTATTAATCGCATGGTCTTTTCTGCTGCGTTTCTGAAAAGTGTACAACCTTTCGTTGTCAAAGTTACAAAAAACTCAATAAGAGCCAATGTGGTTGCTGGCAATATACAGCGAAAAGAATGCACATTATTCAGATGTTCATTTACTGAACTGCTAACATCTAACTGGCGATCACTCAATATTTATCGCCAGGACCGACCAAGAAGAAAGAAACGGAAACTTGTTGAAATACTTTACGCTGAGAATTCTATATTGTACCAAAAATATAATATTGAATAAAGCTGATAATAATAATAATATTTATCTAGGGCAAATTAAATTCCCATTCGTGTAGACGAGAAATCCGACCGTTATAACACTTGTATTAAATGCCATTAGACACTTATAAATCGTACATAACAACTGATTCATTATACGGCAAACTTTTGAATTAGAAACATGCAGGTTCTCTTCATTAATAGTAGATACATGTAAGGGAAATACAAACTATATTCCCTCGGTTATAATTTTATCATCCTATGATACTACTTTCTAAAAGTTAGTAGCATCGTTAAACAAAACATAAGTTATATGAGACCCAGAGTGTGGCAAAATTATATCCAAAAACTAAACAAAATGTTGAATGTAGTGTACATGGGCATTTATATTTGGTTTTTTACTTCTCAGCCTTACATATTATATCAATGCCTAATCAATAAATATCAAACTAGTAACTACTACATAGATTTTAAGTGATTTTTTTAGATTATTTATAGTTCAAATCAGCTAATATGGTTTAATTACAACCACCTATTTGAGACTTGTCAGGTGTAAGTACCTGTATTGTGTTTACTCTTGATTTCGAAATTAGTCATTCACTTCGACAATCAGGAGATTCAAACAACTTACAAATTAATCAAAACCTAACCCATTGTACAAGTCAATGGCTATCTAGGCTCAGTAGCTCAATGGATTATTCGTTGAGCGTGTAAAGTGAATGGTATTGGGTTTGAGTCTCAGTGTAAACATAAAAAATTAGAATGTAGGTACATCCAGTTGACGAGTCCCAAACGTAATGAAATCCATGTCATCAATTCCATACTAGCCACATTCCATGAACTGAGGAATTAAAGTTTAATAGACTAACTACAAGTATGTGGTTGTGATAGTAGTATATTATTTTTTAGCGAATTTAGCAGTCATAAAAAACGCTTGTATCATATTTTGTGGACAGTTTAATAATACGTTTGTTTTTCTCCTGATTGTTTACATTTAAAGTGATTTAACATTGTTACTTTGAAAATAAATTTGTGAACTGAATAATTATCGGAATGGGGATTTATGGAGATTGTAATAACTTTAATAGTTGAATTCATGAGTCGATCTAAACTAAACCAGGAATTAAAAACCTGGAAGCACTGGAAGGGTTGCGCAAGATCATGAACCGATTGAAAATAAACATTGATACCGTTGGATGCCGGCTCAGTAGTCTAGAGGTTAAACGTTTGCGCTCCAGACTGATTTTCCTGGACTCGAGTCCGACGTGCGGGATTGTGGATAAACACTGTTGAGGAGTTCCATACTAGGAGTAAATGGCCCTCCAGTGCTTCCAGGTTTTTCATGGTGGCCTAGCTTAAATTCAACTTTTAAAAATGAATAATTAATAATTGTCTGAAATAATTACTCTATCATTTCCTTCTCTTGCTTTTTGTTATTCGTCTCTATTTCCTCTTTGTCTCTAAAATTCTGTTTCTGTAACTTCATCGGCGAGACTAAAATTTATGGACGGGCCAATCAGATTTAAGAAAATAGGTCTCGAATTTTAGCGCAAAATACATACACTCATTTGGCTAAATACTTTTTCGCCGTTATATCTGATATCAGTTTTTGATGAAAACCCTAAATCTATTTCCTAACCCTAATCATCAACTGTAAATCATAATTACAAATCCTCACAATAATTTATTACCCTCATTTACTCCTAGTTAGTAGGTGGACATTTTCAAGGTTATCTTAGCGTTGCTCAAAGATCGTTACTAAATTATAGTGTCACCACTTCATCTTCTCCAATTTACCATGATGCTGAGACAAATCCTTATTTAAATGCTCTTCCTAATCTCATTGCTTTTAGTCTTCATTCATCTTCTCTATCTATTATACTTTAATTTAGTTCCTTTCCTTTGTTTTTGGACAATTCTTATTCTCGTACACGTTTACACATTATTATTATTATTGTTATTATTATTATTATTCTCGTCGATGATGTCACTATTAGTGTAGTGAACAAGAACACGAATGGGGCAATCGAATATATCTGGACACAAAATTACAGAATATTTCACCAAAATCTGAGAACCATACAGTAAATTGTTAATTTGCAAAAATATCAATCGTCTCAGATTTCACTGTTCATGTATTTTCATACCAATTGCTTTCCGTTCCCGTTGTTTCTTTTTAGATCTTCTACTGAACTACATTTTATTTCTGACGATCATTATATATTACTTATTATGGATATAAGTAGCTCACACTTCACTAGTATTACTAGTTACTACAAAACTGTACATATAATGTATTCAAAGTACATTTTATATGTTACCAATCAATTATAATAATGTAAAAGTTTAATTGAAAGTTATTTTACTTATATCAAAATGATTAAAATAAAGAATTAAATAAAAGTTATATCATTGGAAATTACTAAATAAAGATTAATAAAGGACAAATGATTTACCTTATTAATTGACTTTTTTTTTTCCATTTAATTTTTAAATACAAACCCATTGAATGATGAATGTAGGATTAAAACGGTTATATTTTGATTGAAATAAAGGAAATTAATCTAAATCAATAAATTTAATATGGATTAAGTTATTAATATAGAACTGTAATAATAATAATAATAATAACGAGTAATGGTAATAATAATAACAGTAATAGCAATAATAATGGTAATAATAATAACAATAATAATAATAGTAGTAGTAGTAATAGTAGTAGTAGTGATAACAATAATGACAGTAATAGTAATAATAGTGGTAATAATAATAATGTTAGTAGTAATGGTAACAGTAATGATAATAATAATAACAGTAATAGTGATAATAATGGTAATAATAATAATAATTGACACCTTTAAAACTAGTTAATAATGGAAAACTCACCATAGTGTATATAAAAGAACTAGAAAGGTGTACATTTTTAAGGAATTAGTAAATCAACTAAGTTCTATATAAAATGAGGTAAATTTAAGATTAATTTGTCCTTTTCATATTTAGTTCATACAATATATCAGCAACAAGAAAATTAGCATATAAGTATTACTGATTACAAAAACAAACAAACAGAAGAAGAAAAGGAAGAAGAGGAAGAAGAAGAAGAAAAAGAAGAAGAACAAGAAGAAGAAACATATTGAAGTGTGGAAAAAAAATCCAACTTCATATCATACTGATTATCTAATGTAAAACTGTAATTCAATTATACACAAATGATAATATTAATGATAATGATTTTATTGAAATTCTATTACTATATAACACTACTACAATTAAATTATATTAATGGACAATTGAATGAATGTGATAATTTACAAGAGAATCGAACAATTTCACACATTAATTATGATACAAATGAACTCAATCCTATTGATAATAACAATCCATTAGAAATGGATATTGTGAATATAAAAGAAATGGAATGGAATGATCAAAAATCAATAACTCGTAGTTGGCCATTAGATGTAACCAATAATGATGAATGTCATCAGATGAATATAAACTCTAATGTAAATAATCCATGCCAAGAATTAAAACAAAACCAGGAGAAAAATGTAAAGGATGTAAAATATAATGAAGAAGCATATAATAGAATAAACAAAATCAGATCAAATCAAAATAACATAATGATCAATAAAGAAAAATACAATCGAATATATCAAAATCCGTTTAATGAATTAAGCCAAACAGAGTGTAATCAGATAGAAAATGAAAAAAAATACGACAGACAACAACTAAACTGGAAGGTGACGAATGAAGAATACGATATAAACGATGAAGAAAACACAATGATAAATTATGAAAATATATTGCAAAAACAAGAAAAAATAAGTGAATACATGATACAAAACAAAATAAAAGAAACGGAAAATCAAATACGAGAAGCAAATAAACAAAGTGAAGAACTAACGGGAAATAAAACAAAAATAATGAAAAAACGAAGTCAAAACATTTATAATGAAAACAAGAATCAAACACGAAATGATACATATCAACAAGGAGAAACACCAACAAAAATAACACCAGCTCCAGTAGTCACTGCAGTCCCACCAGTCTACAATCAGTCCACCACACAATCCACATCGACCACCACTCAAACACCACTCATTACAACACAATACGTCCAACCATCATCAACATTAAAACCAGTTCCAATTGTCACGTCCAACAAATCAACCGACGCTGAATATAGCATTAATGGAATATTGACGAACACTGAATCTTCAATCTATACAACAAAATACGTCCAACCATCATCAACATTACAACCAGTTCCAGTTGTCACTGCAGTCCCACCAGTCTACAATCAGTCCACCACACAATCCACATCGACCACCACTCAAACACCACTCATTACAACACAATACGTCCAACCATCATCAACATTACAACCAGTTCCAATTGTCACGTCCAACAAATCAACCGACGCTGAATATAGCATTAATGGAATATTGACGAACACTGAATCTTCAATCTATACAACAAAATACGTCCAACCATCATCAACATTACAACCAGTTCCAGTTGTCACTGCAGTCCCACCAGTCTACAATCAGTCCACCACACAATCCACATCGACCACCACTCAAACACCACTCATTACAACACAATACGTCCAACCATCATCAACATTACAACCAGTTCCAATTGTCACGTCCAACAAATCAACCGACGCTGAATATAGCATTAATGGAATATTGACGAACACTGAATCTTCAATCTATACAACAAAATACGTCCAACCATCATCAACATTACAACCAGTTCCAGTTGTCACTGCAGTCCCTCCAGTCTACAATCAGTCCACCACACAATCCACATCGACCACCACTCAAACACCACTCATTACAACACAATACGTCCAACCATCATCAACATTAAAACCAGTTCCAATTGTCACGTCCAACAAATCAACCGACGCTGAATATAGCATTAATGGAATATTGACGAACACTGAATCTTCAATCTATACAACAAAATACGTCCAACCATCATCAACATTACAACCAGTTCCAGTTGTCACTGCAGTCCCACCAGTCTACAATCAGTCCACCACACAATCCACATCGACCACCACTCAAACACCACTCATTACAACACAATACGTCCAACCATCATCAACATTACAACCAGTTCCAATTGTCACGTCCAACAAATCAACCGACGCTGAATATAGCATTAATGGAATATTGACGAACACTGAATCTTCAATCTATACAACAAAATACGTCCAACCATCATCAACATTACAACCAGTTCCAGCTGTCACTGCAGTCCCACCAGTCTACAATCAGTCCACCACACAATCCACATCGACCACCACTCAAACACCACTCATTACAACACAATACGTCCAACCATCATCAACATTACAACCAGTTCCAATTGTCACGTCCAACAAATCAACCGACGCTGAATATAGCATTAATGGAATATTGACGAACACTGAATCTTCAATCTATACAACAAAATACGTCCAACCATCATCAACATTACAACCAGTTCCAGTTGTCACTGCAGTCCCACCAGTCTACAATCAGTCCACCACACAATCCACATCGACCACCACTCAAACACCACTCATTACAACACAATACGTCCAACCATCATCAACATTACAACCAGTTCCAATTGTCACGTCCAACAAATCAACCGACGCTGAATATAGCATTAATGGAATATTGACGAACACTGAATCTTCAATCTATACAACAAAATACGTCCAACCATCATCAACATTACAACCAGTTCCAGTTGTCACTGCAGTCCCACCAGTCTACAATCAGTCCACCACACAATCCACATCGACCACCACTCAAACACCACTCATTACAACACAATACGTCCAACCATCATCAACATTACAACCAGTTCCAATTGTCACGTCCAACAAATCAACCGACGCTGAATATAGCATTAGTGGAATATTGACGAACACTGAATCTTCAATCTATACAACAAAATACGTCCAACCATCATCAACATTACAACCAGTTCCAGTTGTCACTGCAGTCCCACCAGTCTACAATCAGTCCACCACACAATCCACATCGACCACCACTCAAACACCACTCATTACAACACAATACGTCCAACCATCATCAACATTACAACCAGTTCCAATTGTCACGTCCAACAAATCAACCGACGCTGAATATAGCATTAATGGAATATTGACGAACACTGAATCTTCAATCTATACAACAAAATACGTCCAACCATCATCAACATTACAACCAGTTCCAGTTGTCACTGCAGTCCCACCAGTCTACAATCAGTCCACCACACAATCCACATCGACCACCACTCAAACACCACTCATTACAACACAATACGTCCAACCATCATCAACATTACAACCAGTTCCAATTGTCACGTCCAACAAATCAACCGACGCTGAATATAGCATTAATGGAATATTGACGAACACTGAATCTTCAATCTATACAACAAAATACGTCCAACCATCATCAACATTACAACCAGTTCCAGTTGTCACTGCAGTCCCACCAGTCTACAATCAGTCCACCACACAATCCACATCGACCACCACTCAAACACCACTCATTACAACACAATACGTCCAACCATCATCAACATTACAACCAGTTCCAATTGTCACGTCCAACAAATCAACCGACGCTGAATATAGCATTAATGGAATATTGACGAACACTGAATCTTCAATCTATACAACAAAATACGTCCAACCATCATCAACATTACAACCAGTTCCAGTTGTCACTGCAGTCCCACCAGTCTACAATCAGTCCACCACACAATCCACATCGACCACCACTCAAACACCACTCATTACAACACAATACGTCCAACCATCATCAACATTACAACCAGTTCCAATTGTCACGTCCAACAAATCAACCGACGCTGAATATAGCATTAATGGAATATTGACGAACACTGAATCTTCAATCTATACAACAAAATACGTCCAACCATCATCAACATTACAACCAGTTCCAGTTGTCACTGCAGTCCCACCAGTCTACAATCAGTCCACCACACAATCCACATCGACCACCACTCAAACACCACTCATTACAACACAATACGTCCAACCATCATCAACATTACAACCAGTTCCAATTGTCACGTCCAACAAATCAACCGACGCTGAATATAGCATTAATGGAATATTGACGAACACTGAATCTTCAATCTATACAACAAAATACGTCCAACCATCATCAACATTACAACCAGTTCCAGTTGTCACTGCAGTCCCACCAGTCTACAATCAGTCCACCACACAATCCACATCGACCACCACTCAAACACCACTCATTACAACACAATACGTCCAACCATCATCAACATTACAACCAGTTCCAATTGTCACGTCCAACAAATCAACCGACGCTGAATATAGCATTAATGGAATATTGACGAACACTGAATCTTCAATCTATACAACAAAATACGTCCAACCATCATCAACATTACAACCAGTTCCAGTTGTCACTGCAGTCCCACCAGTCTACAATCAGTCCACCACACAATCCACATCGACCACCACTCAAACACCACTCATTACAACACAATACGTCCAACCATCATCAACATTACAACCAGTTCCAATTGTCACGTCCAACAAATCAACCGACGCTGAATATAGCATTAATGGAATATTGACGAACACTGAATCTTCAATCTATACAACAAAATACGTCCAACCATCATCAACATTACAACCAGTTCCAGTTGTCACTGCAGTCCCACCAGTCTACAATCAGTCCACCACACAATCCACATACGTCCAACCATCATCAACATTACAACCAGTTCCAATTGTCACGTCCAACAAATCAACCGACGCTGAATATAGCATTAATGGAATATTGACGAACACTGAATCTTCAATCTATACAACAAAATACGTCCAACCATCATCAACATTACAACCAGTTCCAGTTGTCACTGCAGTCCCACCAGTCTACAATCAGTCCACCACACAATCCACATCGACCACCACTCAAACACCACTCATTACAACACAATACGTCCAACCATCATCAACATTACAACCAGTTCCAATTGTCACGTCCAACAAATCAACCGACGCTGAATATAGCATTAATGGAATATTGACGAACACTGAATCTTCAATCTATACAACAAAATACGTCCAACCATCATCAACATTACAACCAGTTCCAGTTGTCACTGCAGTCCCACCAGTCTACAATCAGTCCACCACACAATCCACATCGACCACCACTCAAACACCACTCATTACAACACAATACGTCCAACCATCATCAACATTACAACCAGTTCCAATTGTCACGTCCAACAAATCAACCGACGCTGAATATAGCATTAATGGAATATTGACGAACACTGAATCTTCAATCTATACAACAAAATACGTCCAACCATCATCAACATTACAACCAGTTCCAGTTGTCACTGCAGTCCCACCAGTCTACAATCAGTCCACCACACAATCCACATCGACCACCACTCAAACACCACTCATTACAACACAATACGTCCAACCATCATCAACATTACAACCAGTTACAATTGTCACGTCCAACAAATCAACCGACGCTGAATATAGCATTAATGGAATATTGACGAACACTGAATCTTCAATCTATACAACAAAATACGTCCAACCATCATCAACATTACAACCAGTTCCAGTTGTCACTGCAGTCCCACCAGTCTACAATCAGTCCACCACACAATCCACATCGACCACCACTCAAACACCACTCATTACAACACAATACGTCCAACCATCATCAACATTACAACCAGTTCCAATTGTCACGTCCAACAAATCAACCGACGCTGAATATAGCATTAATGGAATATTGACGAACACTGAATCTTCAATCTATACAACAAAATACGTCCAACCATCATCAACATTACAACCAGTTCCAGTTGTCACTGCAGTCCCACCAGTCTACAATCAGTCCACCACACAATCCACATCGACCACCACTCAAACACCACTCATTACAACACAATACGTCCAACCATCATCAACATTACAACCAGTTCCAATTGTCACGTCCAACAAATCAACCGACGCTGAATATAGCATTAATGGAATATTGACGAACACTGAATCTTCAATCTATACAACAAAATACGTCCAACCATCATCAACATTACAACCAGTTCCAGTTGTCACTGCAGTCCCACCAGTCTACAATCAGTCCACCACACAATCCACATCGACCACCACTCAAACACCACTCATTACAACACAATACGTCCAACCATCATCAACATTACAACCAGTTCCAATTGTCACGTCCAACAAATCAACCGACGCTGAATATAGCATTAATGGAATATTGACGAACACTGAATCTTCAATCTATACAACAAAATACGTCCAACCATCATCAACATTACAACCAGTTCCAGTTGTCACTGCAGTCCCACCAGTCTACAATCAGTCCACCACACAATCCACATCGACCACCACTCAAACACCACTCATTACAACACAATACGTCCAACCATCATCAACATTACAACCAGTTCCAATTGTCACGTCCAACAAATCAACCGACGCTGAATATAGCATTAATGGAATATTGACGAACACTGAATCTTCAATCTATACAACAAAATACGTCCAACCATCATCAACATTACAACCAGTTCCAGTTGTCACTGCAGTCCCACCAGTCTACAATCAGTCCACCACACAATCCACATCGACCACCACTCAAACACCACTCATTACAACACAATACGTCCAACCATCATCAACATTACAACCAGTTCCAATTGTCACGTCCAACAAATCAACCGACGCTGAATATAGCATTAATGGAATATTGACGAACACTGAATCTTCAATCTATACAACAAAATACGTCCAACCATCATCAACATTACAACCAGTTCCAGTTGTCACTGCAGTCCCACCAGTCTACAATCAGTCCACCACACAATCCACATCGACCACCACTCAAACACCACTCATTACAACACAATACGTCCAACCATCATCAACATTACAACCAGTTCCAATTGTCACGTCCAACAAATCAACCGACGCTGAATATAGCATTAATGGAATATTGACGAACACTGAATCTTCAATCTATACAACAAAATACGTCCAACCATCATCAACATTACAACCAGTTCCAGTTGTCACTGCAGTCCCACCAGTCTACAATCAGTCCACCACACAATCCACATCGACCACCACTCAAACACCACTCATTACAACACAATACGTCCAACCATCATCAACATTACAACCAGTTCCAATTGTCACGTCCAACAAATCAACCGACGCTGAATATAGCATTAATGGAATATTGACGAACACTGAATCTTCAATCTATACAACAAAATACGTCCAACCATCATCAACATTACAACCAGTTCCAGTTGTCACTGCAGTCCCACCAGTCTACAATCAGTCCACCACACAATCCACATCGACCACCACTCAAACACCACTCATTACAACACAATACGTCCAACCATCATCAACATTACAACCAGTTCCAATTGTCACGTCCAACAAATCAACCGACGCTGAATATAGCATTAATGGAATATTGACGAACACTGAATCTTCAATCTATACAACAAAATACGTCCAACCATCATCTACATTACAAGGGGTTCCGTTTGTTAGTTCTCTCTCACTCGGCTCTAATCTATCTGGATCAAGTGTTTTTACCTCTGGTTTTTATTCAGATAATGGATTTTCTGATTTTTCATCTCCGGATATTTTTTCGTCAAGTGATGATGGTTTTGGTGTTGTTAATATTTCTGATTCTGGTTTGCTTACTCGTGATATTGATTTTCCTAATTTCAACTATGATACTTCAATTAATCCCGTTTCTTTTAATTCTGAATTTGATTATTTTTCGTCTCCTCGATTACCTGTTTTTGGCAATTCATATGATGATAATTACAACAATTGTCATCCTGTTCACGAGAATGACTGTCATTCATTGGAGAATTATGTTCCTTTCTATGATTATAACAAAGTAATAATATTGAGATTATTTAAATGTTGTCAACACCTTTATTCATGTAATATAGAATATTGTCATATCAATGTTTTTGTGAAACAATTATGTGATAAATATTTTCAATATTAAGATGGATTGTCTTATTTCTTGAATGTTTAATTACAATCTATTTTTCATTTGGAAATTTACACCTTGTTTGTTTATTTTTTGTTCTCTTTCTAATTCATTTTGAAGAATTAATGGTGTTTACAAAGTGTTTTGTTTTGAAAGGTTTACTTGAAATTGTACAATTATCATCTGCAGTTCAAATAATTTAATTGTTTCATGCAATTGGTTCCCTTTATTTAATTATGACAAATAAATCAATATTTTATTCATGTAAAATTAGATATGAGCCGTAAAATTTATTCGATTAATGTGAAGGCTAGGATATTCTTTGGATGCTTAAACCGAATTAGATGGTTTTCTTAGGGGTCCACACATAGAGTCTTCAACCTAAATGCCTTATCCATAAGGCAGTGAAGCAACATCAGGAAATGCAGTTCTATGGTAGCCGGTGACCAACAATAGGTTCATACGCCATTTATTCCCTCAGGATACTGGAAACCATGTGTACTATTGGTTGTGAATTACGGTTTTCTAACTCCCTTAGATGGATCCTCCGTGTTCACGAACCCGGTTAAAGCGCCGGGCATTTACTTTTCGTTCTCTAAATTTCGTAGACTAAACATTCGGCGAGAGAAGTCAGTTAGTAGGATTTCCCTGTCAGTGGTTGTATACGCTTGGCCATGTGAGAGTATTTCGGTAGGGAGAGCGGACTATTCTCAATATCGGCCATGCCAGGGATTTGAGGGGCGATATAAGAATTCCTAATTTCACTGATGATGATTTCCTTTGTCGTGATTCTGTTCATTCTTATTTTGATGATGATTCTTCTGTTAATTTACCTACTGATATCAATTCAATCGAAGTATATTTCCAGTTTATATCTAGTATTTTATTCATTAATTTTCAACTCAAATTTTTTAATATAGCTGTATAGATGTATAGTGATTTGATACATTTAATATTATTAATATCTTAGTTGTTTAGTTCACATCTATAACAATAATTTATTTCTTTATATCAAAAGTGGTTTTGTGGATAGACTAATAGGTCCTGGGTCATTGAAACTGCACAAAGTACTTCAATGATTTCAGATTTTTCATTGAGTATTTACTTTATTCTACCTAATGTTTTCTAGATATTTAAGTATAAGATTAGGAGAATAAACAAACATTTAGTATTTATCCATACTTCTACTTTAGAAGAAATTTATCTCTCTAAACAAATTGTTCAATTAGTACTAAATATTGAAACTGATATCGTTAGTAATCATGAACTTAAATAATGCCTGCCAAGTTTATAGTTGACTCATACTTTCAACTAGTGATATTTTGCCAGTCTCAGCTCAACAAGAAGACGACGAATTTACTATGTGCAACTAGAAATGATGCACATCCCAACATCAGGATAATATTTACTAATTTAGGATACATACTGATTAACTGTTGAATTGTTAAAATTAACAAAGAACAAATTTAAACAGTTGCTGGTCTGATGACTGGTTCTAATGTAGGGTCTAATCTTCAGCATCAGGAATCAATATTCCATAGACTTTAAAACTGAGTTTTATTCAGAGAATCAAAACTTCAAACAGAAGTTGGTTCATTAAACTTTTTTGAACATTTTTTTTGACACTCAAAATCTTTATCCTTTCGAAAAAGTGTAGCGGTTGTTTTGGATTATCAGGAACTTACCAATATGAATTTATCTCACACTTACAATGGATTAATAAACTACTAACAGAGTTTTATTTTAAATTAAACATTCCTCGTTCACCTTTTGATAGACTAATTTCGTGGCAACGCAACACAATTAGTCTAGATACTAGTCTAACTCTGGTTTTAACAAGACGAATAGAATAATCCTGTGAATAACAGTGGTGGCATATTAGGATTCGCTAGCTTCTATTAGTATTAAGGTAGACACATCCGAATCAATAATCCTCACATAAGTCATGACAACTACCAGTATTTTCCTAAAGACGTTTGCAAGATAATGTATCAAGTTATAGAATACTTTGGAGATAATTTATGATAATCTGTTGTGTTTGATAATACTTGCAGGAATCTGTGAAAGTTGAGATTTCCGTTTTTTTCGCTCACTACAAACTATTCGACAAAGCATTCGACCACATCACCTAATGGGAGTGTCAGTTCCCATGCGAGTTAGCTTACAAACCCCATTCATTTAATTGGGATGCTACAATATGAACCCTCACTAAATGAAGCTATTATTCAAGCAGTCTTATAAGGTATTAATATGGTGCATGCTACTTATGTTGACATAAGTAGTATATAACATCAATGAGAAGTGGGATGCCTAGCAGCAGAAGATTGGGAAGATCGAAGAGAAGAGAATAGGACCAGAGAGTAATAGTTATGAAAATGAAGAAACGATGAAGTTTGAGACAATTGACTAAGAATTTGCAAATGAATTATCGGACGTTTGCTCTTCACATTTGACCAAAGAACGTGGAGCTAAAATAACAACAACATTTTCAAAAAGACAAATGGAATCAATGAATTTTAGCTGAGTCGTGAGGTTCTTGGAGCACATAAACAACACCTAGACACAAGAATGTCGGTTTTGTTTTCATTTTACACTTTAGTGTCTCATTTGTATCAGTATTGCCGTTTTCCATAAATATAGTAAAAAGAAAAAGTGAAATTCGACACAACACAAACATTTTAGTTGTTATGATTCTATTCAAATCAATGTTAACACGTTTTATCTAACTTTTATGCTGTTGGCAAACTTTGAAACAACATTGCGTTACCATTTTTTAAATACATTTTGACACGTTCTCATGTAAGCTTTTCTTTTGCAAGTTGACTAGAAACTAATCAGAGGATTATTTTGACTGTATTTGATTGTTTATTGCATCATGCTCGTACATTCTAACAATAAATAGTAATCAGTATCACCTTTATATGTATGTTGAAGTTTATTGAAAATTCTGAAACCACTGATATAATTGGCCAGCATTCTAGCATCCTATCTCTACCAGCACTGGAACTCAAACGACTGTAAATCATGTTTACAAAAGATGTTCAGTTTTAGTTCAATAATGTCATATACCAACAAACTGATGTTGTAACAATGGTAATTCCGTTAGATCCTGTTTTAGCAGACTTTTCATGGCTGATTTCGAATGAACTAGCTCAAAAGAACGATTAGTGAAACGGTGTATTATTCGAGGTACATTGATGACACCTACATCGTCTGCAATAATCTACAACATTCAACAAATCTAAAGGAACTTCTCAACGAAGTTCATATAAATATCCAGTTTACTATGGAACATGAAAATGGAAACAAGTTCCATTTTCTCGATATCGTAATAAAACGAAGAAACAATGGCACAGTCCAACGTTCAGCTAATAGAAAAGACACATGGAATGAGATTTGTCTCAATTTCAATAGCTTTTGTTCACACTGTTACAAAATGGCACTGGTTAAAACACTATTTCACGGAACAGAAATAATATGTACTACAGATACACTAGGAGAGGAACTAGTGAATGTGAAATAGTGTTTAAAGAACAGCAGATATCCGCTGAAATTTATTGAGAAATATGGAAATGTAAAGATAAAAAAAGAAACCCCAGTAAACAAAAAGCTATTTTTATTCAACTTAAATGTGAAGTCGACGAATGTTACAGGGTCAATCAACACAACACTAAGAACTGAATTGTGAAGAACTCATCCTGAAGTTAAACTGATTGTCTTGTCCAAGACAACGTGTTTATCAACATAATCAAGGATCGATCGGTATCCCTTTTATGTAACTACTAACTATGTATACAAATTCACATGTATTCCCAAAACAGTTACATTGATAGAATAGAAAGGAGAGCCTACCTCCGATTCAAAAAACATATTCCAAAAAGCCCAAAGTCAAGCAGATAAAAGCATTCAACAGTGCTACCTCAAGACATCTTGAGACAGGACATCAAGTAGATACACTAAAGTCTTCCAAAGTAATTAATAAACAACCAAACTTCAATCTTTCGAAATTCGCCGAAGCCATAGCGAGCAAATGTTTAAAACCAGATTGTTATTTCCAAAAAGAAGCAATAATAAATCTTTCTTTGTCCTGGTAAAATTACATCCTTTTTATTATATCATTCATTATTCTCACTCTTTCTGAAATTTGATTACATTAATATCATTTTTCTTTAATTCATAACTGACTGGTTTCAATGCATATCTCTTTATTACCATTAGTCTGTTTTCGGTTACATCATTACACAACCATCTAGTTTGTTAACTCTGCGATTTCTAATCACTAGTTCTATGTTCTGGAACTTTTCCTCTCGCAGTAATTATTTATCCTAAACAATATGACCTTATTAACTCTATTAAAATCTTCGTTACATCATGATACATATATTCATCTCTAGTCACCTTCGTATTTATGAGCTTATCAATATCTGTAATAACGTTGATGTTACAATATTATAGGTTGTAAGCATCTGATAAGTACATAATGAAACATAATAGAATTCATATTATTCTACATCATACTTTGTTTTTGATCTCTTTATGAAAAAGTCTGATTATGAATTCTTATAGATTGTAAGGAGCTTCTGGAATCTCAAATAAAACAAATTCATTTCGTAATAGCTCTTTTCAATTTATTGAAAGGAACTATATGCATAAAATTTCAGCTGTTTCAATGAACCTTAGCAGTTAAAGGAGTATAATTAAGCTATCAGAACATTTCTTGATATTATTTTGCTAGTATGAAACGATACATTCACACTCTAAACATCCAGTCGATCCTTTTTGCAGTTTATTATTTATTTATTATTTATTTTAACACATAGATATTGGTACAAGGAGGCACCAAATACAAATGCACCACACAGATCTCATTTAATATGTGTGAGGGCTGTGATACTGCCCGGGTGCCCAAACCGAAGTAGGTGGTTTTCTTAGGGGGCCATACCCGGGGCCTTCGACCCGATGGTCTGATCCACAAGGCAGTGGAACATCGTGAGGAGATGCATTCCCATGGTTGCCGGTGACCAACGATTGTTTCATACGCCATTTGTTCCTTCAGGATACTGGATTCCATGTGCATCATTGGTTTGGAATCAGGGTTTTTCAACTCCCCTAGGTGGACTCTCCATGTCCACCAACCCGGTTAAAGCGCCGGACATTCGTTTTTCGTCCTCTCGATTTCGTTAACAACAGTAATGTCACGAGAAGGCAGTGAGTAGAACTTCCCTTGCAGAGGCTACATACGCGTGGCCATGTGAGAGCATTCCGAGAGGGAGAACGGACTCTCCCCACTCTTGGCCGTACCACGGCATCTGCAGTCTTCCGCCTAAATATATAATCACATATATCATTCTTCCCAATTTATACTATCTTTTTTTTATTTGTTTACTATCTTCTTGGTTAATGTTTGTCATCTGAGTATAAATTTCTGATGAGCTTGATGTTAGTATTAGTAGATAGCAGTTACATCAATCACATTTGATTACTATTTCTTTAGAACGTTTTTGACTCGTTAAGATGAAACCAAACCTAATTTACACATAGACGTTTAAGTTTATGTTAAGTCAATATCTTGATAAAAAATTACAAAGTTGTAGTTAGAATTAAATTAAAGAAACTTATTTACGTTTGATACCCTTCAGAGGAGCATAGGCTGACCACCAGCATTCTCCAACCAACTCTGTTCTGGACAATCTTTTCCAGCTCTTTCATGTTGCTATTCATACTTTTCATGTCTGCTTCCAATCCCCGATTCAATGTGTTCTTTGGTCTTCCGCTTTTCCGTTTCGCTTCACGATTCCAAGTTAGCGCTTGAATCTTGATATGGTTTGACGATTTCTTAAATATGTGTCTGATCCATTTCCAACGTCTTTTCCTAATTTCCTCTTCAAATGGAAGCTGGTCTGTGCTGTTCTACGAACAAGTGAATAAGAGACATCCTAGTTTAGTTTATTAGAAGGTTAAACACATGTAATTGCTATTCACTAATTAACTTGTTTCGAAAACAGATTTTTACATTTAAAGTAACTAATACATATGACCCGTAATATTTGCACTGAATATTAAGATGAGTGACTACAAACTACACCTAGTATAGTTAACGATTATCGAACGCATTTGACCAATAAGCCTATTCAAGTCATATGACATAAATCTGAGATTAACTAACATTTCCTGCCAAAAATTCCAATCTTTCCTGGTAAGGACAGAAGGTTAAATGACATTTGTTAATCCCTTTGATTTGGAATAGCATTTACAGCACCGTGATTTTTTGTATTTTTTAAGATTTCTGACCAATTGTTCAAACAATAGGATTAACCTTTTATTAGAGTGAGTAGGCCTCAACATACACAAGGGAAAAAACAACATCCTCAAATACAATGTGGAAATTACTAACACCGTCACACTTGATGGAGAATCGCTACAAGGTGTGGAAACATTCACGCATCTGGACAACAACAACATCCATGAACGTGGATCATCTGATGCAGATGTACAGGCAAGGATTGACAAAGTAAGGACAGCAACCCTGCGGTTGAACAACATATGCAACTCAAAACAACTGTCTGTCAACCAATATCAAAGTCGGAATCTTCAATATGAACGTCAAGACAGCTCTACAGTATGGAGCTGAAACTCGGAAAACTACTACAACCATTATCAAAACTGTACAAGTATTTATAAACAATTGTCTACACAAGATACTCAATGTCCGTTGACCGGATACTATCAGCAACAGTGTACTGTCGGAGAAGACAAACCAGCTTCCATCTAGAGAGTAAGTTAGAAAAAGATGTTGGGAGTGAATAGAACATACATTACGGAGATCATCAAACTGGATCATGAGGCAAGCGCTAACTTAGAATAGGAAACGAAAGTGGAAAAGTGAAAGACCAAATAACGCAGTGTCAGAAACTAGAAGCACACATGAAAATAATGATTAGCGATTTGAAAGAAATGGAAAGGATTGTCCAAGACGGTGTTCGATAAAGAATGTTGGTGGTCGGCCTATGCTCCTCCATGAGGGGTAACAGGCATAAGTAATTAAATAAGTTGATTAGAGTCAATAGTTTAATTATATTAGTAAATAGTGTAATACAGTTTGTGATTGTGATTTTTAAGTTGTAATGTGAATTTCTTGTATAGTTTTCTTCATTATTACTTTACATTTACTCGAAAATACACACATCTCTCCATTACTTGCGATACGTGATTTCACTTAAACCTATGGAGATCATTGTTATATAAACTTTGACACCAGTTTTCATTTTCTACATTAATAGTTTCTAAATCAATCAATCAATTGAATCATTACAAAAACTGTCGATTATAAAGGATTAGTTATTTATCACGGATTACATAAATGGGTCACTAACACTACTAACAATATAATGACTATAACAGAATAATATTGTTCAATTTATTAATCAATTATGAATTATGATCATTCCACTACAACTCATGATTACCATTTCTGGAATGTTAAACATCAATTGTATGTCAAAAAGTATAAAATCATTATTATAGGACTCTGAGCAGAACGATAGATAGTGTTAATCTCAGTCATAAAAAACAGGTACAAAAGTATGATAATAGTGGATATTCAATTCAGCAACAAAATCAATCTCAATCATCTACTGGTACTCAGAATCATGGTCTATAAACCATCCAACAACAAACTCAACAATACAACCCAAGAACTTCACAAACTTACAATCCAATTCAAAATCCTAATAACCTACAACCAGTTTTTACATTACCAATGATTAATGAATTAAACTAGGATGGTGATTTACCATTTCCAGTCAATCAAACACAGACAACATCAGATTCACAGATTTCTAATCAATCAGAACGACTTGGTTCGTTCCAATTCTCATCGTAGACCTTTATTTCTGAATAATAATGCTAACATCAAGTTTTCATAGGCGTTTATTATAATTCGTAAAAGTCGGGTTTATAAATTCTGGCTGAGAATCAGTTGAATAAAGATTAGTCAATATTTTAAATGCTTTGTCTTAAATATTTACAGTTGATGGATCACTAGGTGGTAAACAATGTCATGTATATCAGGTCCTTCTTAGTGCACATCGAATCCTATCGATCAAGTTGCAATGTGGCCACTATTCTAGGCGACTCGAATATCAGTTGCACTATGTTGAAATAAGATGGTAATTGTCTTAAATACTTTAATAATGTGCATTTCGAATGATGGAATAATTTTCTCATACTTTAATGTAAAATAATGTAGTTCTACAATGTTAGAAATGAGTCAGTTCGTCAACAATTACAATCATTGATCATCTTATTACTTTTAGAATTAATTAAAGTTAGCTATGTGAACCACGAGATTTCAAATATGTGCTAGACTTCAGATATAAATATAGTAGGTTTAATCAAGCATCTTTGAATAGTCCCAGACTGGGACTAAACATTTAATGAAGAAGACATAAATTTAGTTGGATTGTGATGCCTCAAGAAAGAATATATCAATATATAGAACAAATCTGAGTTTTTTCTGACCTTTCTTAAATACAATCGATATTCTGTTCTGAAACACTTCTCTGAATTGTAATATTTGAAACAGTAAATGTTTATTATATCAAGCAGTATTAAATTCAATGCTCTAAAGAGGCCAACAGATGTCAGCTTGTCAGATGTTATTTCTCATATGTATAACGCAAGCGTTTATGTATAATGACGGAAATCAACCACATATTCACTGACTACAGATATCAACACCATTCACACAGTCATTAGTTAACTTCAAAGTAACCAAAACGATCTATTGTGATTTCATGATGAGAGTCAACTTAAAACAACACAAGTGGAATATAAAGATCAGTAACGAGAATATTTATTAGTCAGATTCATTTGGGAGACACAGTTGAACGAAACAAAGTCACGCAAAATAATCATTACATACGATGATTTCGATAAAATTTACCATCAAATCATCCATTCAAACTTCAACATGAATAATCTCGAACTTTCATGAATAATAGTAATATACATCATTTTCCACTGTCACTTCAGTTTGTGAACCGTTCTTTAGACTATCTACATGATTATGGTTTCGATTTCACAATGTTGCTCTTTCCTACTTGATTTCCATAACCTGAATTATACAAACATTAACCACTATGATACCATTTGATCTACTTGTCAAAATTCTCATCACAATGAATGTGGCAATTGATTATTATTTCTTAGATGTTGACCAGACAATCTAATTAATACATGATCGCAATTTCCGACTAATTGGATGAAAGTGTGTGTATGAATGTAATGTAAAAATTTAAATAGTTGTCAAATGACTAAAACACGATTGTGGTTAGTAATGTACATAAACAGTTGAAAAACCAATTGGAAAACATATTAAGTTGTCGTGAATGAAACCAATCGATGGGCACTGCTATTCACATACATGTCATCAACGATGTACAGCAGAAGTGAAACGTTAAATTGACTCATCGAATAATGTTGTTTTATTCAAACGAAAATTAGGGGAATGGTAACTTCCATAACTATTAATACTTATGCACATTTATCCATTCTTACCATATAATTAATAAGTAACGATATCATACATAAATATATATACATTACTTTTATCAAAAGCTTTTGACTAACAAATTAACTACCGATGAATGATTAACCACTATTAATCTGTTGCCAGTTTATTATTCAGTCTCCCCTACTCACAGACACTTTTCGGCTTGATCATGTGTAGATGTTATTTTCCATTTTATGGTGTGGTCTGGTGCGGTGTGGTCGTATGTGTATCGATAAAAAATATAATATTCGTATAGTGGAGGTTGGTTACCAATTTCTCGATTGAGTGTAGGACAAATAAGGACTTGTCATCGACTCAAAGCTACAAGTGTCGGTTGGTGTGTCATTGCTTAGCTCAAGGAAAAAGTCATAGAGATCGATAATGTAATTGTTGTTTTGCCATGTGATATTAATGATCAGTCATAAGTCATCACAAATATAAAGCTGATTGCATGGTTGAAAACTGAAGGTCCTTTGTGGCAAATCAGACTGATATTATATAGTAACAATAGTAACAGTGGATTGTGATTGATTAGATGATAAGTGGAAAGTTTGTTGTTTGTTCGATATTTGAGTGTCTGACTACACCTGTGAATCTTCCAATGGTTGTTATTGTAGTCGCTGGTACTGTTGATTGAATAATGGAGAATCTGGAGAGAGATGAGATTCGAGTGACTGTGTCGGTTCACTAGAGGATGAATTGTCAAATTCCGAATGCTGCTCAACTATTGGATTTGACACATTAGAAATCGGTGGATCGGATACTTGGAACAGATCAGACGATTGTGGTTGAACCAACATCAAACCATCAACATTGGATTGTGACTGATCGGATTGTGGCGATGCATCGAGTTGACGTTGTGAGTCGATTCCAGGCTGTGACTGTTGTGATGATTGATTTTGACCATTCTGTAATGCTCCAAACTGTTCAGATGATGGTGGTTGTACCAATATGAAATCATCAACATTGGATTGTGACTGATCGGATTGTGGCGATGCATCGAGTTGACGTTGTGAGTCGATTCCAGGCTGTGACTGTTGTGATGATTGATTTTGACCATTCTGTAATGCTCCAAACTGTTCAGATGATGGTGGTTGTACCAATATGAAATCATCAACATTGGATTGTGACTGATCGGATTGTGGCGATGCATCGAGTTGACGTTGTGAGTCGATTCCAGGCTGTGACTGTTGTGATGATTGATTTTGACCATTCTGTAATGCTCCAAACTGTTCAGATGATGGTGGTTGTACCAATATGAAATCATCAACATTGGATTGTGACTGATCGGATTGTGGCGATGCATCGAGTTGACGTTGTGAGTCGATTCCAGGCTGTGACTGTTGTGATGATTGATTTTGACCATTCTGTAATCCTCGAAACTGTTCAGATGATGGTGGTTGTACCAATATGAAATCATCAACATTGGATTGTGACTGATCGGATTGTGGCGATGCATCGAGTTGACGTTGTGAGTCGATTCCAGGCTGTGACTGTTGTGATGATTGATTTTGACCATTCTGTAATGCTCCAAACTGTTCAGATGATGGTGGTTGTACCAATATGAAATCATCAACATTGGATTGTGACTGATCGGATTGTGGCGATGCATCGAGTTGACGTTGTGAGTCGATTCCAGGCTGTGACTGTTGTGATGATTGATTTTGACCATTCTGTAATGCTCCAAACTGTTCAGATGATGGTGGTTGTACCAATATGAAATCATCAACATTGGATTGTGACTGATCGGATTGTGACGATGAATCGAGTTGTTGAGAATTGGCTTCATTCTGAATTCGTTGTGTTCGTTGTATTTCACTATCATGATATTCTTGAGGTAGTTCTGTTGATTGTTCTTGTTGTTGTTGATGATGATCAGGTATTGAATGACCAACGTCATTTCGTGACTGACCAGGTAATTCTGGTTGATTATATATGTGTGAATCTAATGGTTGTTGTGTTTGATCAACTGGAATTTGTAAACCATCATTTTGGTTTGGTTGAATAATCATTGGTAATGTTATGATTGGTTGCAAGTTTCCAGAATTTATCGATTGATGTTGAGCTTGTGATTGAATTGAATTGAATTGTTGATTTTGTTGTTGAATTTGCTGCTGAATAATTTGTTGTCCATTGTTATAAGTGTTAATAAATGATTGTGTTTGACTTTGTTTTTGAATTGAATATCCACTTGTATTAAATGTTTGTACTTGATTTTGTGATTGAAATGAACCGGTATTTTGTTTCAATGTCCATATATTATTTGATATAGAAATACAATTGATGTATATATTCGAAGATACAATAATCATTATTAATATTGAATTAATCATGATTCATGAATAATTATCAGATGAACGTTTTATTCATTATACTAAAATGATCATATACAACTGATTATTATATATACAGTAATCTATTTATATAATTCATTGTAAATAATTAATCTTTTATAATCTATACTTTTAATGAACAATTCATCCAATTAACATATGAGTTAATGACATTAGTCCTTTTTGACAAGATAACAAACATGAAAGAGAGAGAGAAAGAGACAGGTGGGGTAATCGTTTCTAAGTATAACAATTACAATGTTATTTTCTGTTAAGACATCAATATGAAACATGTTAGAAAGATTTTATACATAAACAAATAGACTGTAGATCACCAACGTAGATGATTGATGTCGAATGATCGGAAGCCTATTCGAGTTAAACGGGAATGGCGGGACGAACCAGCTAACGTCAAAGTCACATCTCTTGGTCAGCACCTTACGTGGACTACCCCATTGATGTATCAATGTACCACAGATGCTTTGAAGACTGTACAACACAAAGGACGTTATTACGGAAATATATTAGTTAAAGTAGATACAAACGAAAGTAAGACCACTGCTGAATGGGGTAGTGCATGGCATACGATTAACTGATGAGCGTTGGTTGTCCTTGATCTTGACGAGGATCGATAATTTGTTCGATATTCAATGACTCAACTGCACGATGATTTGGCTAGGGCTCAGTGGAATTTCACTGGCCGTACAAGACAGATAAAGATTTATTTAATACCTAAACTAAAGTTTAATAATGTACTTCTTTGAAATTTTATTTACCTTTCACTGTTATCATTGTAGTGAACGAGAACACAAGTGGAAGACAATCGAATGTATTTATATTACAAAATTACAGAATTTCTGAGTAAAATCTGAAAATTATACAGTAAATACTTAATTTGTAAAATATTTTAATCAATTGTCTTAAACTTGACTTTTTCTTCGTAAATGTCAATCATTTGTCTTAGACTTCACTGTTCCTTCATTATCATATCAATCGCTTTCTGTTTCTGTTCTTTCTTTCTTTCTCGACCTTCTGTTGCTAGATATTTTATTCCTGAATAGCCTTATATACTAATTATGTTAATATAAGTAGCACATATAACACCAGCATTCACTTTGTCATATGTGTTGAGGTTCATGTTATCTTACAAATTTTCAAATTAAATGCATTGAATCCGTTACAATATGTTTTATATTATATGTATTCTCTTTTAAGCTTACATATGAACTTTAAAAACTTATAATATCTGAAGAGTATGGTTTATTTTTTTCCATCTTCTTATACCTTTATAGTAATGTCTATCAAGAATATTTTTGATAAGTCTTACCTGTAGAATGGCATGGCTGTTATGTAACTTACGACTACTTTAAAATAACTTCATAATGATAATGGTGAGATTATAATTTCTGCACAATTTTTGAGCAATTCTAAAGGGACCCTGGGAATATCCACTTACTTGCTAAGGTAAAAAATGTTTAAATTAGTATGAGGAATTAGGATTAGGATTTAGAGTTGGAAGTTATGGTTAGGAATTACAGTACGCATTTGAATGACGAACTGATATCAAGTATAGTGCCAAAAATTCTATTTAACCATTTGGATAAATGAATTTCACTCCAAAATTGAATACGTGTTGTCTTTAATTTCAATAGTTAGTCCATAAGTTATAGTCTCGCCATGGTCATTCACACTCATTTACATATTCACTAAACAATAAATGTGAACGCAGGTGTTTGCTTGTATTTCATGTTATGTTTCGCTTACTAACCATCTAAACTGCTATGGTTTTTTGGCAACAGTTTCATTGGTCTGATTTGGAAGAAAAATTTGGTATTAATACTTTGTCTCCTTTCGTATTTCATTTGTAATCATCATATACATTTGAAAGACGATAAAATATCTCATTGGTATTTTTTTCTTAAAAATATGATTATGAAATCCAACAAGCACTGGATAGCCGTTTTTTCCTACTATAGGACTCCCGAACAGTGGACATTCACGACCCCGCATCTGGGAACTGGACGCAAGACTTTAAGTTTGGCACATGAATAGTTAACCTCCATATCATATAGCAGGGATCTAATGGTGTACAAAAGTCTTTGGATGTGAAATATCTTATCCGAAGTTGTAGACGAAGAAAAGATTTGTTGGTAATCGGTATCGGGATTTTCAATCATATTTGTAACTTAAACTCCATGAGGACATGCAGCGAAGTGTACAATAATATATTAAGATAAGCTTTAACATGTATGAAGCATTAAGGTATACACTACTTTGCGTTTTCTACGGGATGGGGTCACTAACCCCATGCCCAACCCTCCTCCTTTACCCGGGCTTGGGACCGGCAGTAACTCTAGAAAAGCTATAGGCGGAGTTATTAAGGTATACATAATGGACATGATTTTGTGAGTGCAATTTTTTACATGATGAATATTTCCAAGGTTAGCACATACCTTTATTAACGGTTATTGATTTGATTACTCATTTGTCGGTTTGTTTTCGCAGGAAATAATCTCATCACTTATTTAATGAAAATATTTACGATTAGGAAAAGTTATTTAATTGAAATAACTATGTAAATAACCTGAGATTTGAATGTACACCAAAGAAAATCCATTCAAAGCCTCATAATTAGTAGATGATGATTTTACATTCTAGAAGGTGCGTTTAGGTAACTAAATAAATTCAATTTCTAAACTAGGTATGTGGTGAGACAGAATTTTAAAGAAAATTTCTTGAGTTGTTTATGGGGCATATGTTATTGGATCGTAATACAGGAGATTAACTGAATCTATCCCATTTGAGTATTGATTAATTCACCTAGATTTTCTATCTAGTACCAATCAACGACTAACAATTAATACGACGATAATGAGGTAATAGACAAGATCAATATTTACAACGTTCGGTCTAGAATTCAGTTCTTCCACAATCGCTTTTCCGATAGCCAGTATATAACTTAACACCATGGATTCGAATTTTCTTCTGATGCATTTATGAATCAAATCCTGACCACACATCAGTATAATAACGAAATTACTACATCAATGTAATTGTTCCATTGGTGAAGCAGAACAGAGTAATGTATCCACAATACATTAATAGTAACTAATTAAATACACAACATATAACAACAATTGATTCATCGCATAAGATTTGATAAGTAGGCAAATACAAAATCTCACTAGTTTAATGGTTTATTCTAAGCAATGAATCCTGATAAAGTAGTTCCAAAAGTTCAACTTTATTTCATGTTTATCTTCTTATAGTGGTATCAACAGTTGAGTAATTAAATACATAAACATCCAAAAGATCTCTCTAAAATTACATATTATACCTTGCAAATTCAGTTAGGCTATATAAATTTCTGTTATTCTGATCATTTTAACATACCAACTAGTGAAACTTCATTTTCTATCTGTTCATATAAAGTAACTTTATGACATGATTGATGAATAAAATCTTTACCTTATTTACATTCTAAAGAAATGAGTTAATCAGAAATCAGGTTTTCTAGTTAGCTATTAACATCTTTCTGTATAAAAACGCAATAAAACAAGTCGATAGTACCTTCTAATTATAGATCATATTTCAAAACGGTTCATGTTAGCAAGAAACCATGGTTAAAAAGTGAAAAAATACAACTTATGCATTAAGCGAAGATGAATAGTGGCTATCAGTGCGATTCGGTTTGACGCGCGTTTCGTTCTATTTGGGACTATTTGGGCTATATCAAGGCGATCCGCACAGGATGCACATATGCCAACAAGAGACTGATCAATTGCAGTCCTAAATAACAATGGGAAGATACAAGTAAAATAATACCAAGTGAATTTAACTTATACATTAATCATTGATCATTGTATTCAATAACAGTTTTTGATTTCACCTCATTATAATTTTATTTCTAAGATTTATGCAACTCTGTAATCCATTGTTAATACAAAAATGGATAATTCGCATAGAGCAATAGAATTCACGTTTTAAAGTAAATAGAAGAACTCAAGGAAAGAGACTATATGTATTTTTTGTCAATGATTGTTATCTATAATGACAGTAATTATTGATCATAGCTTACATTTTCATTTTACATATTTCGGAAAAACATACCCAACTAGAGTCGTGACGAAAGAGTACTATTGTGGTGTGTGCTACTGATGTCGACAGATATAAGTAGCGAAATGCCTGGAGGCAGAAGGTTAAGAAGATCGAAGAACAGAGAATGATTGGTGTGAATACAAAGGAACAATGAAGTTTGAGACGATCGATTGACATTTTGCAAATGAAGTATTTACTGTATGGTTCTCAGGTTTGCTAAGATGTTCTGCAATTTTGTTTTCAAATGCATTTGATTGTCCTCGATGGTGTTCTTGCTGAGATAAGATAGTGGTTGGAGGTAGTCAACAGGAAACATGGACATGGGTTTCGTGCGACTTGGCCCTCGTCAACAAAGTGTATCTGTAATCTTGAGGGAATTGATGCTCCTTGTCACCCAGCTTCACAGTCAGAGACGTTACCACTGAGCTATCTCAACATAGTGCACGCAGTCTTGAGTCATCTAGACTAGTGACCACATTGCAACTTGGTCGATAGGATTCGATTTACACTAAGAAGGATCTGACATACATGACGTTGACCACCATTCAGTTATCAATCAATTGAACATATTACAAACATCTATTTATAAACGAAAATTATGAGAAATTTGCAATTCTATGTACTGTAAACAAAACAGTTATAGCTGATTGCATTTTCCATCAAAAACGCATGCACAGAACTACATGAGTATCACTGAATCACACTAAAGAAAACCAGATTGATTATATTTGGCTAAATCAAAATTCAGAAGATCCATGGAAGACGCGAGACCGAATGAGAGAGGGGCTGACATAGCTTTGCATCATCACCTGGTTGAGGCCATGATTGTAACAAGGTCACTTATGACAATTTACGATAACATTTGACTCCAAGGGTTATGTATTTCGGTTAATTATTAGATT